GGATTTGATATAAATCTCACAAGAACGTATTCTAATCTGAAAAGTCTACGGTAAGTTCTTATCACTAGAAGCTGCTGAGATACAGAAGAGTTAGTTGCAGCTTGGCCATGATAACTTAGTAGGATTTTTGAAAGTTATTTTTGTGTAAGTCCAAAAAAGTGTGAATTCACACACACACACACACACACACACACACACACACACTTTTTTCAGGTAACCATGAAGGTCACACTTAAATCATTAATTTGAAAAAAGGGATCATTAGGGATCATTACTTAAGTTGTTAATTTTAACCTTGAATAACCAACCACAGCTATCGGTGGTGCTTGGTGTTTGTTAAATTACCCACTCTGGTTTTCCTTCTAAGACATTGTTTCCCCTTGATTCCCCACCTGCTCCAAAGGGCAAATTAGTAACTTGGAAAACTCATTGGTATCTTATAAAAAAAAGCTTTTCCTATTTAACTTTGCCAACAAATGTCACACAGGTTGACCAACCCTTAATCCCAAACACTAAGTGTTTCAGATTTGAGATATTTCAGATTTTGGAATTTTTGCATATATATAATGAGATGTCTTTTAGATGGGCCTGAGTCTAAAATTTCAGGGATGTTTTATATACACCCTACACACACAGCCTGAAGGTAATTTTATACACTATTTTAAATAATTTTGTGTGTGCAACAAAGTTTTAACAGCATGAAAATTTTCACTCATGATATCATATTAGCATAAGTTTTGGAATTTGGAACTCTTCTAATTTGGGGGTGGTTAAGGATGCTGCTGATCATGTGATGAGGTGATGGATAACACAGCACAGCTCGCGAGTGTCCTCTGATGAGCACACACGACATGGGTGAAAGTCCCTTCATGTGACTCTGACAGGTACCCCGGAGCCAGATGAGATGATGCTCTCTGTTTCACGGAAGGAGAGCAGCAGGTTGAGAGAAAAAATTGAATTATCCAGGGACACAAAGCTGCATCGTAGCAGAGCCCAGCCTCATCCTACGCCTGCTACTCTGAGGTCTGTGCTTTTTCCTGAGTCAGGGCAAGTGCTGCTGAGCTGGGATCAGCATCAGGCAGAACAGCAGAGCCTGGAGAGGGTGATTACTGAGCCAGCAGCAGCCCGGCCTTCTGGGCTTCTGTGCGCTGAGGAGGGAGAGATAAACAAGTGGAGGAGGGGGTGGGTGTTAAATCAGAACCACAAAGCAAAAATAAAAAGCGCAAGAAGGAAACCAAGGACTGGCACGATCCTTTTGGTCTGCTTGTGTCCTGGATACCTGAGAGCTCTTCAGGAGTGTGTCTCATTCCCAAAGCCCTTATCGGAGAGTTGTTTTTTCTCCTGAACTCCTGTCCTTCACCCAGATGACATCTGCCTCACTGCACACCCAGGGGTCACTTCCCCACACCAGCCTAGCGCCAGCTGGCCATTGTGTGCTTTTCTCCTCTGAAGCCACATCTTCATTTGGAGCACAAGGTCCCAAATGGTTCCACTTGTATCCCCCAACCAGACACACGGGAGGTGGGGAGGACAGTGAAAGGGTGAGAAACGAAGGGAGACACAAAGCTGGGGTCAGGTGGGGCCCTGACATGCCTGATGGGACACAGGAACCTCTCAATCACTGTAGCACATTTATGTATATACTCCACACACTCCCAAAGAAGAACGCTGGAAACCCTGCTACCCAGCAACTTGTTTGCCTGGTTGGCCTTGGCCCCTGGCCTTCTTGGAGATGAAACAGCTGGTTTACCTGGCTTATTCTGGGCTCTGTGTTTTCAGAGCTGATCTGGCTTTAGCCCCACACGCGTGCTCAATCTCCAGGTTCAAGGGCTCCCTAGACTGTGTTCTTAGGAGGTTACTATGTCTCTTCTCCAAGGAGCTGTTTAGAAAAGGAGCTGTTGAGTGCAAGACAACACACTGTCATCCTTCACTGTTTGAGGAGAATTATGTGGCAAGCAGATGGGTTTCAGGATGCAGGATGAAGAACGAACCACGGCCAATGTCTGAAGTCTTATCTATTGAGATCTGATCAGAAGCCAGGCAAAAAGCTGTGTATCCATGTTTCGTGTGTGTGTGTGTGTGTGTGTGTGTGTGAAAAGTGAGTTGGGGAGAGAGAGCAGAAGTCCACATACTTGATCACCCTAAAAGGTAGAGATCGTGCATCTTCAGGGAAATAGAAGTTTAGAAAGGACTGAGTGGCTTGTCCACACCACATAGCCAGTAAAGAATAATGGTGAACTTTGAGCTCTCAGAAGTGTGTGCTCCTCTGTGGATCCACCGTCAACATTCAGATGTGGAATGAAGACTCAGAGAGGTGATGGGTGCCAGTCTCCCTGATCAAAATCCTAGTGGATTTCAACCTTTGTAAAGCTATTTTGCTGGCTGGGCTTAGGAGCACGCCTAACGCAGGAGGATTGTTGCAAGATCTGGTCTGCAAAGTGAGTAAAGGTTGGCCTGAACTGCATAGTGTGAGACCCTGACTCAAAAAGACAAAAAAGAAGAAAAAAAGCTATTTTCTTTAAATTACTTCCAGGAGTCATACGTGTCATCTTATACATTCTGTTTTGAGCTTCCCCTCTTCTGCCACCTCCTTTGTCTGATGAATCAGACGACTTAGATATTAATCATTTATGTCTGTTGACACTTTTCGCAGAAGACAGCAAGCTTTTAGAATCCATTTCATTTCTACACCCGCTATGCGACTGCTATTGCCAGCCCACACCCAGTGGTGATGTTTAGTGCTTTTCTCTTAATTGTGCTTGGCCTTCAGACGTGAGCACTAGCAATCCATACATCTCTGGTTAAACCAATGGTAACAATAATATCATCAGAATTCATCTCCTAGATGTTAATCTGAGAAGGTAGGAATGGTTTTATTATCTGCCTTAATCTCTGATCCTCATAAGGAGGAGATAATGAGGCTCAAAAAGGCCAGGTAGCTTGCTTAAGATCACATAGCTCTCAAGTAAGAGTCAGTTTGAAGCCAGAATCATCCGGAGTAGGAGATTTATCTCAGTGGTCCTGTGTGACTCTTGTTAGATTTGTTACAGTGATTCCCCCACCACCAGTTTTGTTTTGTTTTGAAGAATTTCAAAACCAAAAAGCTGAAAGAACAGTGAACACTCAGACACTAGAGACTTTTGCCCACAATCATCAATTGTTAGCATTCGGTTGCATTTGCTATTGAATATTTTCCGAAGCCCAGTGAGACCCTTACCCCCTCCTAAGTCATAACTGAAAGTGAAACTTAGGTGTGGATCGACCTTGGGGGTTATGTGTACTCATGGATTTGGGTCTAAGCGCCCAGTCACAAGTGAAAGCTGAACAACAAAGATCTCAGAAAACAGATAAGATTTACATTTTCATGTTATTTTTCTATTAAAAGTTACCCTATATATATTACTTCTTTATATGCATCTCAATGTAATATGCATGTATACATACAGACAGACATTCTAGTGGATATCAAATGTTTGCTAAAAACTAATCCTATTGACAATACAGAAGTTCTTCTTACCCACAGCCTAGTTGTCTAAAATTGACCCTCAGTCAATCTTGGTCTGAATCATCAGTAATATCATCATCATAAGAAGGGTGAGTACAGCCCCATAAAATATTCTGAGACAGAGAGAGAGGAAAAAACATGGGTATAATTTTATTCCAACGTATCATTACAATTGTTTTACTTTATTATTCATTATTGTTCCTTAATCTCTTACTGTGTGTCTAATATATAAATTAAGTTTTATCATCGATATGTATGTGTAGGAAAGAGCAGTACACATAAGGTCTGATGTTATCCATGGTTTTAGGCATTCACAGGGACCTTTGACTGAATTCCCCAAGGATAACTGGGAACAACTGTACTAATGATAAAGTCAACAGAATAACAGCACACACTGAGGGTTACCTATGCACCAGGACACTTGCATTTTTGTTTGTTTGCTTGTTTTTGGAGACGGGGTGTCCCAAAGTAGTTCAGACTGGCTTGAATTCACTATGTAGCATGAGAGCTTTTTTTTCCTTTTTGGCACTGGGAATGTTGAACTCAGGACCTTGTGCTTACCAGGAAGGCACTTATACCAGTGAGATATATCCCAGCCCCTAAGTAGCACATAGCCCAGGCGGATCTTGAACTCGCAGCAATCCTCCCGGCTCAGCCTCTGGAGAGCTGGGATTACAGGTGCGCACAACCATGGCTGGTGAGACAACCTTCTGAGTGCATTTTATTCTTACAACAACCAAGAAGTAGGAATGATTGTTGTCTCTATTTTTTTCAGAGAGGAAACCGAATCTTGAAGGAATAAATCACCTGTCTGCTTTCACAGTGGTAGTAAGCAGCTGAGCTAGAGTCCAAATCCAGGAGTCTGATTCAGACTTCACTTTCACGTTCTTCACTTTAAGGTGTACCACCCGTCAGGCACAAGAATGGGCATGGGATTGAGGCTGAAATGAACAACCATCTCCTTTCCCCCTATATTTTCAGGTCAAGAGACTTTTTTTTACACCAATGAGTAGTTTTCTGCAGAGGCTTCTGGTTAACATTCTGAAGCAATTACATTAATTAAGTTTATATCAATCATCTATCATTTTAATTGGATAATGACTTAACAAACTGAATATAAATATATTTAAGATTATTGGGGTAGCTTTCTTGTTATCAAACAGCTAAGTTTATGACTAAGTTTACATTCACGAATATTTAAAAGGAATCAATAACAACAGTTGAATTGAAGTTCAACATCAGGCTCCAGGTAAATATATTTTTCCTTTACTAGAGAGTGCATATGGTTCTTTAATTTGCAGAACAGCATCTCAGAAATGAGATGACCTGCTCTTTTAGAATATATGGCAACTGCCTCCACATTTTTCAGTGCTAGGCTTAGGAGATTTACGGTAAAGTCAGGTTTCCAAGGAGGTTGGCACAAAAGCCAGAGTTCTTACCGGGTGTTCCTGGAACCCATAATCTTTCCATCTGGTGGTGCAGCCATTTACTTTTTCTCCAGGAGATTTTATAAGCTCTCAAGTGGGGTATTTGATCCCCCTGTGCTTCTCCTGGTTTTTGGTGGTGTTGCTAATGGACAAGAAGAATAAAATGACCTGATTATCTCAGGAGCATGGAAAAGTTGGAATCCAGGCTCAGAAGTGCCTCCTGTTTTCGTTGTGAGAAGGGAAATGATTTGATTCCCGTGTGCCAGAAGTGCGAAACGTGTGTCTTAGCGTGGAAGATCTTTTCTACTAAAGAGTGGTTCCAGAGGATCAATGGTATATGGCAGAGGAGGTTTCTGGTTAGCATTCTAGAGCAGTTGGATAGCTTGTACTTGTTACACTATTTCCAAAATATGCTGCAGACCACCCAGGGAAAGGATTTCATCTATAACAGGTCTCGGGTTAATCTCTGCAGGAATGAGGGGAAAGTTGCAAAATCCTTCTCAAACCAGATGTCGGATAAAATGGTGGAACATGAGATGAAGGAGGTCTTGTACTGGTTTGGGGCCAGCACCCACCGGATCAAGGCAAATTACATCCTCCTGCTGCTGCAAATGTGTGACCCCAAATTACAGCTCACTGCTGCTGCTGTGATCAGAGCTCTGTTTCAGAGAGGGTGCAGCCATATCACAGGTAAACAAGGCTGTGCAGATTGGGAAACAAGACCTCAGGAGCCTGTAGACTCAGATGCAGACAGTGCAGAACACACTTTTAACTTTGCCCTGATGCTCGATCCTGTTCATCGAAAGAGAAATTGCTGAGTATGATTTCCTTCGGGAAAACTTTAAAGTCACACAAGTAAAGGAAATTTAGAACTTTTTACTGTGAGATTTTAAAATGGATTTCTACACACTTTAGGCTCACAGATGGCTGGTCCCTGCCTCTAAACGCTAAAAATTGGTGTCTTTTCTTTGCTGCATTAGGGATTAGACTGGGTTTGGGACAGATGGGAGGAGGAAGCTGCTAAATTGTTTTATTTTTTTTTATTTATTTATTTATTTTTTTTTTGTCTTTTTCATTTTTATCGGTACCAGGAATCGAACTCACAACTGCCTGCTTTCAAGGCAGGCACTTATGCCGCTGAGCTAAACCCCCAGCCCCAAATTGTTTTATTTTTTAAACTGCCCAGAACAGAAACCAGACCAAGGGGTTAGGTTTTATCAAATATGCATTCCATCACACTCCTCGCTTTAGAGTATAAAATCTAAATGGTTTAGATGGTTTGCAGAAAATCAAACCTCAAAGTAGAGTTTATTCAAAGCTGGAGCTACCTAAAGGGCCAAATTAGTTCAGGGCAGTGGTTCTTAAACTATAGCTTACAACAGAATCTCCAGGAGGGCTGCTAAAATAAAGATTGTTGAGTTTCTCTGCCAGAATCTCTAACTCAGCAGGTCTGAGGTGGGATCCAAGATTATATACCGCTAACAAATTCCTAGCTGCCACTGGTATTGCTGGGTAAGGGACCTCACTCTGAGCATCATTTGTGTAGGGTGTTGATGGGAGAATCTTGCAAGTGTTTAACTAGCTGTTTCAGAGAAGCAAAAGAAACCAGAACAGATGCAAGGGAACCCTCTCCCAAGTAACTTTGTTGTGTGGTGGACATTACCTGCAGTGCATCTCTGGTTTCCAAGGTAGCATCACACTCTTTGGGAATTGACTACTTATACTAAAGTTGTGTAAGTATAGTCATAGGTAGTGGCAACCTTCCTCTCTTCCTAGGAGAGGTTTTTCTCTTAAAAAGTTAAATTTTTAGCTGGGCGTGGTGGCTCACGCCTGTAATCCCAGCACTCGGGAGGCTGAGGCAGGAGGATCGTTGCACGTTCAAGACCAGCCTGGGCTACAAAGTGAGTTCAAGGCCAGCCTGAACTGCATAGAGACCCTGTCTCAAAAAGACAAAAAAAAAAAAAAAAAAAAAAAAAAGTTAAATGTTTGCTTGATCTGATGGCATATACCTATAATGCCAGCACTCTGGAGGGCTGAGGCAGAAGGTTGCAAATTTAAGCCCAGCCTGGCAACTTAGCAAGATCCTGCTCAACAAAAAAGTTAAATTTTCTAATTTGATACAAGGGTGGTTATTCATATCATTGAAGAAAATTCAGCTAGAGCTTCAGATAAGCAGTCCCAAGCTCATCTTAATTCTCTCCTTATAGATAGGACTCTGTTATGTTTTGCATTGTAGACTGGTTGGCAAAGCCTGTCAGGGATTTTTTTGGGATATTTTTGCATAGAAATTCAGAGGTCCCAAATAAAAATAGACATAAACTCTGGGCTGTTTTTTGTATAAAGCTGTCTCTGCAATTCTGGTGGATGAGTTCCAGGACTGCCTTTGGATAGCAAGACCTGTGGATGCTCATGTCCCTGATATAATATTATGAATTTGCATACAGCCTATGCAATTCTTTCATATCCTTTAAATAATTTCTAGATTGCTGACAATGCTGAATACAATGCAAATATTGTATAAAAATTATTGTGCTGTGTTGTTTAGGGAAAAATAGCAACAACAAAATCTGTACATGCTTACAACAGATGCACTATTTTTCTGAGTATTTTTAATCTGTGGTTGATTGAATCTGAGAAAGTGGAAATTGCAGACACGGACTGACTGAAAAGTAAAATCACTTTTCTCTGTCTCATTTTTCTTTACTTACCTGCTTGAAGGGCACACTTATCCTGCTTGTTTGTTCTTTAGAGCTCTGTGAAGACTCCAGTGATGTGTTTTTCTTCCCCGAGAAAGACTACAGCTCCAAGCGGGAAACCTCACAAATCCGTTGGGTTGTTAAAACCAGGCCCGCCGGCTTCCCTTTGTCTAGATCCGTAGGAAATACAAAAGCACTTGAAAAAGTGGAGAGAGAAGCTACTAATATTGGTAAGTCAGCTTTGGTCAAGAAAGCCAATATACACAGTCACCAATTTAGATAGTTTGACTTATAAATGTTTTTTGACTTTACAATGGGCTTATTGGGCCATAGTCTATCTAAGTCAGGGAACATCTGGACTTACGATCACTTGAATTATAACTTTTTTGTTTTCAAAAGGGCTATGAAGTATTAAATGTATTTTTTTGTCTCTTTGAGACAGAGTCTTGCGATGCAGTTCAGGCTGGCCTGAGTTCATTTTGTAGCCCAGGCTGGTCTCAAAATTGCAAGGATTCTCCTGCCTCAGCCTCCTGAGTGCTGGGATTACAGGCATGTGCCACCATGCCTGGCTCTTAAATGCATTTTTGATTTACGGAATTTTTCCTTACAATGGATTTTGGGGAATGTAACCTTATGTAAGTGGAAGAGTCTATGCGTTTGACACTGGGAAGTCTCCACGGAGGTAGAGAGGCTGGAAAGGCCATAGCGTCTAGAGATAAAGGATTTTGGAAACTAACATTCATTTGGCATCTATAGTATGTTGGTTTCTTTGGCATTCTTTCCCTCATTTAATCATCATAGCTGGTCAGAGACAGGGAATGTGGAGAGGGTGCTGGGGATTGGACTCAATGCCCTTCACTTGCTGGGTAAGGGTTCTCTCACTGGACCATACTCCTAGACCAACCAATCTGACTTCATTTGTCCCTTCCTCTTCCCACTAGCCGTGTGTGTGTGTGTGTGTGTGTGTGTGTGTGTGTGTGTGATTACTAGGGACTGAATATAGGACCTTGTGCTAGGCAAACACTCTGGCCATGAGATCGATCTCAACCTTCTTTACTTTGATAGGGTCTCACTAAAGTGCCCAGCCATGAACTTGTGATCTTTCTGCCTCAGATTCCCGAGTAGCTGGGATCACAGGCATGCACCACCATGGGTGCCCCCTCCTTTTTAAAATCTTTCAACATCTTTTTCCTGCTGGGATATTTTCTTTTCTTTTTTTGGTGATACCCAGGATCGAACTCATGACCTCATGCTTGCCAGGCAGGCGCTTATGCCGCTGAGCTAATTTTCAAGAAAATTCCAGATAATGCCTTTTGAGATTTTGCTAGTATGTCACCTTGAACTAAAAAGCCTAGAAAGTGCTGGCATGTTTGGGTCAGGCAGTACTATTTCATGGGGCAAAAAGCTGACAAGAGTCCAGTAGCCTCAGCGACTTTATTTGGGGGGATAGCTTGGTACAGATTGTTTTCTGGTCCTAGAATTATTGCAGAGATAACTCAGCTGTATCCCTTTCTCTGGCTTCCCAGACGAACAGTGGAAGAGTTCGCACCAATGTATTTCTAAGATGAATGAACCACTTTCCAGAAAAGCAGGCACGCTCAGCCCAGGGGACGATCCCTGCAATCTGTTGATGGACCTGGAGGATGTCAGAGATCTGTCTTCTGGGGTCAGCAAATACCGAGACTTCATCCGTCTCCTGCCTGTCCACCTCTCCAAGTACATTCTAAGTATGCCGGTGTGGATGAAGGGATTTCTCAGAGAGCCCCCCATCCCGGCCCAGTTCTGGGATTTGGGTCTATTTTTCTTCTTTGTTCCTCTAGGAATGCTGGACAGAAACACCCTGAACAAATGTGCTTCTGTGAGTCACCACTGGGCCGCTCTAGCTCAGCAGGTCAAGATGGACTTACCCATGAACACCTACATTCAGAACCAGATTATTCTCTTGCAGGTACTTCTGATGTGGGAAGACATGTCTGGAAACCAGCTTGATTTGCATGGAGAGGTTGACCCGACCCTGAGCCTTTCTGTCTTGCGGGTAGACCAGCTGGACTCCAGTTCTGAATTCAAGGCTCAGCTACTTCCTTGTGGTTGAGACTCCAGACTAACAGCCATTTGCCTCTCATCATCAGTGGATGTAGTGGGAACAGTATGGATAGAAACCTCTCAGGAGCAGACATGCGGGAGTTTTCCAACACCTCACAAAGTTCAGCTGTAGCTCAGTGGCACAGTGCTTACTTAACATGTGTAAGGCCGTCAGTTCCATCCCCACGACTGAAATCAAAACAAAACATCACCAAGCAAGAAATTCTGTTTCCTCCCCACAAGGAGTTATCTTGAAGCTTACACAATAAGAAAGCCATGAATATGTTTCTCAATCAGCATCACTGTGGAACACAGTAGTTTATAGCAACACAAAGTATGTTTAGAACAGTTTTCTTCTTGACAGTCATCAGTTCTGGGATTTTGACTTTTTGGTTTTTTGCCTGAAGCCTAACGCTAAACTATGCAATCTTACTAGCTTGGATTTCTTTTTTCTTTTTCTTTTCCAGAAGAGATAGATGACAAAAGATGGGAGGAAGCAGGCATGATAAAGCAGGCCACTGTTAGGAAATTGCTGAGTCTTCTGCTGGTCTCCTTCCAGACCTTGATATTACTTATCCCTCTGGACTTGTCTGCACATACTTTTGGTGCACCTGGCTAAGTCTAGGCCTTTGTTTGTTAGCCAATGCCTCCCCACCTTCAGGGTTTGCCAAAAGCTAGTTTTTTCCCTTCCTCCTGGACACTAGGAATGAAGAATAATAATTTCTTCTTTTTAAATAATATTTAAAATTTTCTAACAATGAACAGATAACCTTGTATCTATTTACTGTGTGCAATATAGTGTTTTGAAATGTATGTACATTGTAGTTAAATGTAGCTAATTCATATATCTGTCACATAGTCTTCATTTTTGTATTGACTAATACACGTTTTTTTTTTTTTTTTTTTTTTTTTTTTTTTTTTGAGACAGGGTTTCCCTCTGCAGTTCAGGCTGGCCTTGAGCTCACTTTGTAGCCCAGGCTGGTCTCAAACTCGCAATGATCTTCCTGCCTCAGCCTCCCGAGGGCTGGGATTACAGGTGTGAACCACCACGCCTGACTTGTATTTTAAAAGAATACAATATATTGTCACTATAGTTGCCTTGCAGTACAGTTGATCTCTTGTGTTTATTCCAACTATTTAACTATAATTCTCTGTCATTAGGCTAACCTGGTATGTCTCCTGCTTCCTCTTAACCACTAGCGACCATCAGTGTAGTTTCTATTTATTTGAGATCAACTTTCTTAGAGTCCCCACATCAGTGAAATCATGTAGGATTTATTTTTCTGTGCCTAGCTTATTATTCATAACATCTCCCAGCTCTGTCCATATCACTGGAGATAACAAGCTTTTTCCTTTTTTATACTGAGTGATATTCCACTGCACATACATATTCTATGTCTGTAACAGATGTCCATGCCAATTTCACATCTTGGCCACTGTAAACAGGGCTGCAAGGAGCACAGGAGTGCAGACATGCAGGAATTTTTGATTTTTTTCCAGGGATCCTACACAAGAGGAATAGAACCTAATTATGCCAACAAGCTTCCTGTCCCAGTTCCTAAAATGACGGATGATGGGAAACGCTCGCGTGTGAAAAATCACAAGTGGAAACTGAGAGCAAAGGTGGGCTTCAGTGGACTTATGGGCCAACGGATGGTGAGGGCCATCGTTCCATTGGAGGATACGGTGTTAAAAAGCTTAGCCAAAACCTCATACTTGTCAGCAGCAGAGCCGTGTCTTTTTTCCTTCCCAGTTTTTCTGTATGTGGCTCCTGGGACTACCAAGACTTAGGAGAGGAGCAAAGACCAAAGAACTCCTCTCTATTTTGAGAGAAACCAGGGAAGCCTTGTTTAATTCCAGCTGGACTGTGGAAAGATTTCTGTACTTCACAGGGGAGACAAATTTGACAGATCCTTCCGGGGAGGACGTCACTCTTTGGTTAGAGATTAGGAAAGCTGAGAAAAAAGGGTTGCAAGTTTGAGCTCAGCCTGGGCAACTTAGTGAATTAGCAAGATCAGACCTCGAAAAATAGACTGGTTTAGGGATGCAGCTTGGTACAAAGGCCCTGGTTTCCAATTCCCAGTAACACACACACACACACACAGAGAGAGAGAGAGAGAGATATAGAGATACAGAGATAGACACACACAGAGATAGAGGGAGACAGAGAGAGAAATATAGAGACACACACACATACACACACAGAGATACAGAAGTACAGAGATAGATGCACACACACACACACACACACAGAAATACAGAGATACAGAGATAAATAGACACACACACAGAGATACAGAGATAGAGAGATACAGAGATAGAGATAGACACACAGAGAAAGAGACAGAGACAGTGATACAGAGACAGACACAGAGAGAAAGAGATACAGAGATGCAGAGATACAGAAAGAGATACAGAGATACAGAGATAGACGCAGAGAGAAAGATACAGAGATAGAGATAGACAAACACACACAAAGAAAGAGACAGACAGAGACAGTGATACAGAGACAGACAGAAAGACAGACAAACGTGTGTGCGCGCACACACACACACACACACACACACACACACACACACACGGGGAGGAGAATGCGTGGAGGAGAGACTGCATCCTAGCAAGAGTCCACAGCATGGAGAAAAAAGCTAAGGTTTAGAAGGAGAGCTCAGTTAGTCATCTGTACCAGAATTCACCATACCTGGCATGCTGTGGTTTCTCAAAAATTATGTGATGAGCGAGGAGATAGAGGGCGGAAGGGAAGCACTCTGTGGGGAATCTCTGGTGAAGGAGTGTTTGGGGTACATGTGAAAATGGAGGGACCTTGGGAGCGCCGGTCTCAGGCTCCCGGGAGGTATGCTTAAATTTGGGGCAGATCCACAGGACAGCAGACCCCAGAATCCACAGTGCATTATTCTCAGAGACGTTTGCTTTGGCCATTGTGTCCCCTTTGCTTCGTCAGACTGCTTAACCTAGGTTGACCTGTGTTACATAACAATCCATCCCCTTCTTTCCCTGTCCCCTGACCAAAACTCCTGTGTGAATGTTGTGAGTGCTTTTCTTCTATCACTTTGTCTATCCTTGAGTCACAAATAAAAACCCACAGAGATTTCAGCTTTCTGCTGTTTCCCTGAGGCTCTCTTATGCAGAAACAGCAGCCCCTCTCAGGGTCTCTTATTCTGAAGAAGCAACCTCTCTGGGTCCTCTTGTGATTGAACTAAGTCTCATCTCCAAATAATCTTCCATCTTTTGTGCAACCACAATTCTGTACTGCAATGACCCCCCTGTGGAAAGCTGACAAAATTTATTTCTCTCCCCGAATCCCAGATACCTCATCTATAAGACACTGAGAATACTTTGGGGGCAAGTGATCTACTTTGTCAGCCACCTATAATAACAAATGAAGGTGGCAGACGTATAACAACTTGAAATTCAAATGCACAGAGCACAGTAATAACTTCAGATAGGAAAGAAGTTCCTGGTGGAAATACTTTGTACCATCAAGTGCGTGTCATATAAATATGAAACCCTGGTTTCAGTGAAACGGCTGGCCAGTACTTACTGCTGTTCTGTGCTGTGAATTATCCTCTGTGAGCACATTTTCAGGAAAGTTGTATTCTCAGCGACAGAATTCAGCCTTGAAAGTTCATAGATGTGGACATGTAGAAAGTACAAAGCAGTGGAGAGGGAATTAGATTTTTTGCGTTTTGTTGCTCATGGCTTACTTTGGTCCCTTCTCACGCCCCCTCCTCTCTGCTCATCCTCCATCACTATGAAGCAACAACCACAGCTTTAAAGCGAAGAATCCATCAGCCTGTGCCCTGGTCAGGACAGCCTGGAGGGCCGTCTGGGACCCTAAATATTCCTTTTCTAGAATGACTACCACCTGTGGACTGCATACCAGAACCAGGAAACTCAGCAGGTCTTGATGGAAGAGAGAAATGTGTTCTGTGGAACCTACAATGTTCGCATTCTCTCCGACATGTAGGTACTCGGGTCTGAATTGAGGTCTTTGGGGACCGTCAGACAGGCATCTTGGCCCCTGTGACTTAGAAAGGCATTGTCTCCTCACGTCTAACTTCAGCCCAGAACCAACCCTAGCTTCCCTTGGGATTTTGTTCCCTTCTTAGCAATTGGGAGAGGGCATTTTTCCTTTACACATTTTGAATTACTGACTACAACATTTGGCAAATGTAATGTGCATAAAATCTTTCTTTTTAAAGACACTTTTATTTTTTTATCCCAATTTGAGAATATACTTGCTTGAAAAAAATCCTCCAAGTATCAGGAGATGTATAGAGAAAAGCAAAGATCTTTTTTTTTTTTTTTTAAATCAGTACCGGGGATCGAACTCACGACCACTTGCTTGCAAGGGGCTTTGCAGTCCCAAAAAGCAAAGATCTAAAACTTTGTCACCTAGAAATAATTACTGCTAATACTGATGTTTGTCCTGTAGAGTTTTTCTTTGCATACTTAAAACATTTTAAATAGAAATTGGGCTATGCTCTATATTTATGTGACCCAGTCCAACAAAATACTGTGGATATCTTTCCATATTGCAAAATGCAATTTTGCAAAACTGCAATATACAAATTCTATTATGATAGTTGGATTGTGTGATATCATTTGGATGCTCCACAAGAAGGCTCTTTAATAATCAACTTTATGCCATACTTTAGGCCTAGGCATTCACTTTTTAGTCACAAGGTTTTGTAGAGACCAAAAGCCCTACATTGTTTTTGGTCATGAATTTTACTAACAAATCGCATCGTTGAAATAGACCAGTTATATGGGAAAGCAGAATTGAGTTTTTTTTTTTTTTTTATCAGTACCAGGGATCAAACTCACGACCATGCGCTTGCAAGGCAGGCGCTTATGCCGCTGAGCTAAATCCCCAGCCCCCAGAATTGAGTTTTTATAGGTAGTGTGCTAATTACTGCTCATTAGCTGGTCAAACTCTAAATATGAAAGATAAAATTGGAGAAAAATAATAAGAACTTTCCCTCATATTTAGAGCAACTATCCATTCTGATTTATTGGAACAATTCTACTTTTCTCTGTAGTCCTAGTATACTTAAAATAGCATTCCCTTTTGCAATAAAAAAATATCTTAGTCGTTCTATTTGTAAGTCACTCTATGATAGGAAAAGTCACTCAACTCTCCTGGCTTATCAGGTTTTAAGCCTATTAATAGCAAGGTTTATATTGTATTCATCTTTGTATTTCACGCGGTTCTTACTGGCATAGACCTTTAAACCTAGCCAGTATTCCTTGGTGACTGGTTAAGAAAAAATAAATGAAAGAAAGACAGGAAGAAAGACAGACAGACAAGAAAGAAAGAGAGAAAATGGAAGAATATATGCAGCACATATTAGGGTTCCTTGAGTTTTCCATGAAAAATGATTTTCATTGTCAAATAAACTTGGGAAATATCACATATTCTATTCTCTCCCTTTTGTGAATATCATACATTCACAAAATTTTTTTGTTTATACTTTATAGTTTTCCTCTATGTCTTTAGACTTTAGATCTGCCTGAGATGGATTTTCGTGCAGGTGTGAGGATCTATCAGGCCCACGAGCACTCCACCTTACCTGCTGCTGTCTCCCTTGGTGAAAGGCCCCGAGTTTTCTATTTTACCACCACTATGGGGAAAAGTTAGGGCGCTTAGCGAGTTGCAAGAAGGACACTAACTCCTCTTTCATGCCTTATCCAATCTCCCACCTCGATCCTGAAACTCAGCTGGGACCAAAACAGAATCATCCACTTTTCTGGGGGAGATCTGGTGGCCGTGTCATCTAATCGGAAGATCCAGCTTCTGGACATTGCCCAGGTCAAGCAGCTCCCCACCGTGTTTCAAGGCCATGTTGGGAGCATCCGGGCCCTCTTCTTGTGTGAAGAGGAAAACTTTCTCCTGAGTGGGAGTTACGACCTGAGCATCAGGTGAGCATCGAGGGAGTCCTGACCTCCCTTCACCTCGTGCTTGAAGGAAGCTCGTGGAAGAGGTGTGCGTGCCTTTTTGGTTGGGGATTTATTGAAAAGTTTTCCTAAATGGTATCTACTTCCAGACTACCTACAATGGATGTTTTGGACAGTATAAATCCAAGAATATATTGTTTAAACTTGGAATGAGATAGATTTACAGTAATTGTTAGATGCATCCTCCAGTGAGTAGCTGTGAACTGTAAGACATTTCTTTTTCTTTGTTTTTTAGCATTCTTAGGTGAAAACATACTTTATTGATTTTATGGAAAAAAGATAAAACAAAATTTCATAACAAAATAATAGGAGAATGACAATAGCATATTGGAAACTGCTATTTTCAAAGTAGTGATTCAGAGTATAAGACACGGGCATGAAAATTTCTCTCACTGGTATTAGCACAAACCTACATTTTCAGTGAGCTAAGAGACACTCATGGTATAACTGGCTTGCATTTCTTCCCTTTCCCTTCCATCCTTCCTCCTCTCCTGTATCCTAGTTCCTTTTTCCTGTTGAACAATAATTTCTTCCCATTCACAATATCTATTCTAGACCTTATTTAATCTTTCAGCTTCTTACACTAGGGAGACAGTACCCTGCTTACACATATGAATCAGTTTATTTAACTTATCAGGGTGGAGATTCCTCCAAAATCTAGGATTAGAGGTCTCATGTAACCCAGCTGATCCCCTTCTGAATATCTTCCCAGAAGAATTTAAAACATCATACCTTAGCAATACATGTGCACCCACGTTTATAGCAGCACAATTTGTAATAGCTACATAAGAAACAACGCAAATGCTCATCAACCAAAGAACAGATAAAAAGATGCCATATTTTTATACAATGGAGTATTAGTTGTGAAGAAGGATAAACTTGAAACTTTTATAATAGCTGCAATGTGAGAACATAATTTATATTTCTTTTTACATATTCTTCAGAGTAAAGTAGTTTTTGTGTGTATTAAATATAACACAGATGAAAAATAGTGCTTAAAATATGCATACTTATGTGTTTCAATATTATCGGAAAAATCTATGAGTAGACTAAAACATGGAATATTGTTCCCTAACCACACAATGTGCCCTTTCCCTATGGCTTTCTTTCTTTCTTTCAGCCGGAGATAATATTACCCTAAATTTATATTAATTGTTTTCTTGTATTTCTTTATAGTTTTTGCTTGCTTGTACATCTCCAAATATATTATTTTCGCCTGCTATTGAATTTAATATAAATGGAATCATATTTTAAAAAGCCATCAGCACCCGATTCTCACACTGAGGTCTGTTTGTGAGACTTACCCATATGATGTAGGTAGCAATCATTAGTTTAGGATGACAGAGATTCAGATTTTTATTGGATGAATGTATCACAGCTCATTTATTCTTCTCTTGATGAATATTTGCAGTATTTTTGGTTTTTAATTTTTCCCAACAATGCTCTATGGCTGCTCTTGGGTCTCCATGTAGGTCTTTTTTCCTAAGATATCTTCCCAGTAGGGGGATTTCTAGATAGGAATACTAAGCTGTCTTCCTAAGTGATTGTATTAATTTAGAAACCCATCAGTGGGTCTGAGAATAACCCTCTTTATACACCTTCACCAACACTTTGTATTATCAGTCTTTGACATTTTTACCAATCTGATGGGTATATTACTTAAACTCTCATTGAAGTTATACCTTTAACTTCCTTGTTTACTAATGAGGTGGAACATGTCTTCGTATGTGTACTAGGCTTCTACAGAAAAACAGTACCAATAGGATGTACACATAGAGAGGGATTTATGATAGAGTAAGGCTTGTGTGATTGTGGAGGTCAACAAGTTCAAAACTTGCAGTATGTTCTAGCAGCCTGCAGCTCTGGAGCTTATACATATACTCACGACCACCAAGTCAGTTGTATTTTATTTTATGGAAAAAAGGTAAAACAAAACTTCATAACAAAGTAATAGGAGAGTAACAATAGTTAATACATTACATGTTGTTATCTTTAAAGTAATTGCTCAGGGTACAAGATCTGGGTATAAAATTTCTCCAGTTGATATTAGCACAAACCTCCCTTTTTAATGAACTGTGTTATCCCCCTTTTCCTTACTGTCCTTTAACCTTTCACCCATCCTAGTTCCTTTCACCTTTTGAACAATTTCTTCTCATTTCAGAATATTTATTACACATTTTAGAACTTGTTTACTCTTTCAGTTTCTCACACCGCTAACACAATATAATGTTTACACTTGTGAGTCTGATTTATTTCACTTAGGAATATGGTCTCAAGTTGCATCCATCTACCTATAAAAGTCTCCAGTTTATCTTTCTTTGTGGCTTGAGTACTCCATTGCATAAAAATACCATATACTTTTTATTTTTGGTACTGGGAATTGAACTCAGGACCTTGCACTTGCCAGGCAGGCACGTGTGCTGTTGAGCTGTATCCCCAGCCCCACTATATCTTTTTTATTCATTCCTGGGCTGGTGGGCATTTGGGTTGTTTCCAAGATCTAGCTTTTACAAATTGTGTTGCTATAAACATAGATGCACATATAGTGCTGTAAGTATGATGTTTTTAATTCTCCTGGGAAGATGTCCAGAAGGTAAATAGCTGGGATTTCTAACCTTACCTTTCTGAGAAATCTCCACTCTGATTTCCACAGTGGTTGTACCAGTCTACACTCCCACCAACAGTGGAGAAGTGTTATTTGTTCCCTCCGGCCCCTCCAGCATTTGTTATTGGTTGATTTCTTCATGGTAGCCATTCTTTTTTGGATCAGATGGAATCTGTGTTGTTTTAATTTGCATCTCTCAGGATGACCAGTCATGTTGAACATTTTTTCATATATTTATTTGCCATTTGTATTTCTTCATCTGAGAAGTTCGTGTTCATCTCAGATGCCCATTTTTGGATTGGCTCTTTGAATGGGAGGATCTGAGTTTTTTCAGTTCTTTATACGTTCTAGACAGAAGTCCTTTGAGGGACGATTGGCTAAATTTTTTTCCAGTCTGTTGGTGATTTCTTTTGATGTGCAGAAGCTTTTTAATAAGAGGAGATGCCAGTTGTTTATTCTTTAAAGTATTTCTTGTGCAGTGTAGGTTTTGCTCATGAACTCTATTTGCATTTATGTCTTCAAATAGCTACCTACTCTCTTGCAATAGATTCAGTGTTTTAGGTTTAATATCTAGATCTTTGATCTGTTTTACAAGTCAGTTAATTCTGGCTGGCTGTCATACTCTAAGGTCTGTGTACATACTTAATTTACTTGCCTTCCTAGCGGTGGGCACTGGGTTGACTCTAATCAATGCTCATTGACCATCTTCATAAATTTTCATATAAGATTCTTTATGAACATTATAAAGTTCTTTTTTCTTCTTCTCTGTTTTTTCATTCTTCTTTTCTTCTCTCTTCTTCTTTTTTCTTTTTTGATTTATTGGGAACTGAATACAGGGTCTTTGCACTGGGCTATATTTCCAATCCTTTTTATTTTTCATTTGATGCAAGACCTCACTAAATTGCTAAGTTGCCTAGGCTGGGCTTGAAGTCATGAACCTCCTGTCTCAGCTTAGCACAGTGCTTGGGATTACAGGTGTGTACCATCATGCCTGGTGTAAGATTTCCTTTGATGATATGCACCCAGGAGAGGAAATATTCAGATATAGGTTAGGAAGCACCTAATTTGACTAAGATGTACCAAGTTGAATTCCAGGATGACTGTCTCAGTCTACATTCTCGCCAGCAGGCCTCTGGTATTTCTGCTTCCCTACCAACACTGAATACTGTGTAGTTTTCAGATGTTTGCCAAATGAATTTCTGTAGTCATTTCCAGGTGCATTATTAATTCTGGTTACTAATGGATTTATTACCTTTCATGACTTCTTTTGTAAGTTGTCTGATGATGTCCATTTGCCTACCTTTCTGTCAAGATTGTTCTGATTTTCTTACTGATTTTCAGCTCTTTGTATTTCCTTCTAGATGTTAGTCCCTTGTCAGTTTTAAAATATCAAATATGGTTTCTCTTTCATTTACTGATTTTGTTCATAGTGCCCTTTGTTGAACAAAAGTCTTTAATATTAATGTAATAAAATTTATCATTTGTTTTCAGATTTTCTTCTACCCCATGTCTATAGTTCTTCCCCCAGAGATATTTTCCAACATTTTCTTTTATTAACTTTATAGTTTTACCTTTTGTATTCAGCGGATCCATTCGTAGTCCAACTTATTATGTGATGCTAAATAGGATTTCTGTTTTGTTGATTTATCTTTTAATAAAATGAATAGATTTCCTCTCAGAGCAATTAATAAGTAATCTGTCATTTGCCTCACTGATTTGTGGCTCATCTTTATCAGAGTCATTTCCCACACATATGGACAGTTTTGAGCTCCATTCTCCATTGGTCTGATTTTTTTGTTCTTGCGCCAAAACGATCCTATTTTGATCTCTCTATTGTTGTTAATAATGCATTAGATAGATTTTTGTTTGTTTGTTTTTGTTTTTTTACCGGTACCGGGGATCGAACTCACGACCATGCACTTGCAAGGCAGGCGCTTATGCCACTGAGCTAAATCCCCAGCCCCTAGATAGATATTTTAATATAGCACTGGTGGGGCCAGTTCTACTCTTTTCTCTTGTCTTTCTGGCTGCCATGACATGAGCAGTTTTCTTGTAGTATGTCTTTGTACTGTGCCATTTCTTCCATGGAGTCAGCTGACTGTGGACAGGAGCTGTGAGCTGAAATAAACCTCTCCTCCTTTGAGTTGTGAGTATAGTGTATTTGTCCCAGCAATGAGGAAACATCCTTTCTTAGAGCTTTAAATTTTTCTTTGTAAAAGCCTTGTATATTCTTATTAACTACCTATAACCTTATAATTCTATTGCTTTTGTAAATGGTATCTTGTTTTTGCTTCTCTTTTCAAATTGCTTATTGCTGGAATAGAGAAATGGTATTGACTTCTGTAGGTTGATTTTGTGTCCAGCAACTTTGCTATGTTCTATGTTGATGTGGTTTTCCTATGTAGATGATCTTACGCTGTTACTACTGACGACTGTCTTGTTTTCTAATATATGTATCATTCTTTTCTTTTAACTGTGCCTGGGTCTTCCAGTGCCATGGAAGCAGTAAGAATAGGCATCGTTACCTGTTCCCTGTTTTTTGAAGTGAATGCATCTGCTATTTCTTCATTTAGCACACCGTGTGTCAGTATGACTTTGGCTTAGAAGTTATACTACGTCAAGGAAGTTCTTTATATTTTTATATTTCTAAAAAGCATATAATTCAAAACTAGACATGCAGATCAGTGGAATAGAACAGAAGATGCATAGACAGCCCTGAGTACATTAAATCATCTGATCTTTGACGAAGGAGCCGGAAACATGCTGGAGGAAAGATAGCCTTTTGAACAAATGGTATTGGGAAAATTGATTACACACATGCAGAAGATTGAATCTAGACCTATAGCTTTCACTGTTTAAAAAAGTAAAATCACAATGAATCAAAGACATAAATATTAAAACAGAAAAAATATACTGGAAGATAAAATGGGTTAAACTTAAAGACATAGGCACAGGAAAGAACTTTCTAAGCAAAACCCCAGTTGCACAAGAAATAGCATCAAGAATCAACAAATTGGATTATATCACATTAAAACCTTCTGCATAACAAAGAGAACAACCAACACAGTGAAAAACAACCTACGGAATGAAAAAAATTTTTTTTGCTAGCCACTTCTCAATTTACGAAGAATTTTAAAAAAATCCCCAAGTTAAAAAAAATCAGAGATTTTACTTAAAAAATGGGCAATTGATATGAACATAACTTCTTTTTTTTTTTGTCTTTTTCCTTTTTATCGGCACCAGGGATTGAACTCATGACTGCCTGCTTGCAAGGCAGGCGCTTATGCCACTGAGCTAAATCTCCAGCCCCTGATATGAACATAACTTCTTAGAAGATGTACAAATGGCCAATAAATACATGAAAATGCTCAGTATCTTGGCATCAGAGAAATGCAAATTAAAGTAACATTGAATTTCTATTTTACCCCAGACAGAATGGTTATAATAAAAAAAAATCAAACAATAAGAAATGCTGGCAAGACTTCAGAGAAAAAGTCAGCCTTTACACTCTTGATGGGAATGTAAACTGGCAGTATGGAGATTCCTCAAAAAACTAAAACTAGAAATTCTATTTATCCCTGCTATTCCCCTTTTAGATATCTTTCCCAAAGAGTAAAAGACATCCTACTAGAGTGATACGTGCATACCCATTTTTATAACAGCTCAATTGATCAAAGCCAAGTCTACAGCCATACCACCCTGAACGCGCCCGATCTCGTCTGATCAAAGCCAAATCTTGCAAATGGCATATATCTACTCATCTGTTAATGGATATATATATATACATACAGGTGAATACATAAAGAAAATATTTATACACAATGGTGTACTAATAATGCATAAAGAAGGATAAAACTCAAGATTTGAGTCGTGTAGAAAAATAGACGCACATTTATTTCACTTTGTTAAGTGAAACAAATTAGAAACACAAGCTTCAGTTTTGCATGGTTTCTCTTATTATGAGAAACTTAAAGTATAATTAATTTAAAAAAATAAAATAAAAGAGGAAATAGGAAGGCAGATCTTTTGCAAATGTGAGGGGAATTTAGAAATGGAGGGAGAAGGAAAGGAGGGGAAGAGAAATACAAAGAGTTAAGTTATGTTAAGTAGATATACCTACTCCTTAAAATAAATATAAACATTAAATGCTGCAAACATGTATTAATAAAAATCAACATAAAAACGTTTCTCAAATGCCCTTACCTTCTTACATTAAAGAAACCGTCATGTTGCTAGAAACAGAAATTCCAAATATGCTTTCCTTCAGAGCTCTGGGACATTGGTAAATGCATTGGGGTTGCAACACAGACTCTGAACCCCCTAGGAAGCAATCAGTAAGGCTGTAGGACCTTGAGAGAACATCAGAAGAAAACGCTCACCATATTCTGCCTCCCTCCAACTTTTGTTAGTCATATATTATGTGCTAAGCCTTAAATAACCCTAGAGGTAAGTGTCATTTTACAGATGAGGCATGGAATGATTCAGTAATTTACCCAAGATCACAAAACCAGTAAGTGGTGGACCTCAGATTGAGGCTCAGGCAGCCAGCACCAGATTCCGTTATCCTAACGTTAGGCTTTGTCCTGTCACAAACGCAGTGCAACAGTCAGGCTGAAGGGGAAATCTGGATGAATGGTAGCTGAGAGACCTGAGGCCAGTTTTCTTATCACAGAACAACATGATTCGTACCTATTCTCATATGTCTTCTAGATAGGTTTTAGATGGACACAAAACATTTTGGAACTAAATGACAGTGGTAAGCCAGTCTGTGGCTCTTGTCTGAATCAGTGCTGTGAACAGGCCTGGTGGTCATTTCAGGGACTCTTCCCCTAAAACCGGTAACACTTATCAAGCGATTTGTATGTGTCAGCCACTGTTTTTGGGTTACATGCACTGGTGTGCAGCTGTAGTGCTGCCATTTGGGAATGGGTGGCTCATTGTGGGACTTCCAGGAGCGGGACAGGATGCTTGGTAACATCGTTGGACTCAGTGCATTGACTTCTCCCTCTCTGTTTGTGATCAAAACTCTCTCAAGATACTTTCACATGTCTCCCAGGAATAGAAATCAGCTGCATTTGATAGTTGCTATATTAGTGCATTTAATCATTCACCAAAAACTACTATTTGGGAACTACCATTTTCCTCATACTTTTTACCAATGAAGAAATGAAGCTTACATAGAAATTAAGTAACTTCTCCAAATAGTATCTATTGCAAATGGGATTCAAATCAAGGTCTTTGACTTTCAGTTTACTTATGAAACTCTGTAGCCTTCCAACTACTCATAGTTCTAAAGGAACTCTGATTAGTATCATCTTTTGGGTACTCAGAAAATCTCAGACACTTTTTGTCCTGAGTCCTACAGATACTGGGATCTGACAAGTGGGACTTGTGTGCGAATCTTCTATGGCCACCAGGGAACAGTCACGTGCATGGATTTATTTAAGAACATGCTTGTATCTGGAGGAAGAGATGCCCAGGTGAAAGGTGAGAAAGAATGCCTTACATTTTCTAAGAGGTTTCCTCAAAATCTGTAAGTTATCAAAATGCTTTTTAATTTCTCCAGATAGTCATTTATTCTTTTATCTATTCATCCATCCATCAATCTATCCATTAAACAACTATTTGGTGAATATCTACATATTTCAAACACTGTGCCACATTTTGGCAAGAAAAGAAATGAACATAAATATTCAGATATGTCTTCTTATTTCCACAGAAATAAGAAGCAGGAGATCTAAATATGTAATGTAGGATACAATAAATACACGAATAATAACACCTGCAATATACTGGGTACCAATTTTACAAAAGGCCCAATGATAAAGGCCATATATATATATATACATATATATATGATCATATTTAATATTCGTAAGGATCCTGTGAGGTGGATATTGATGATGTATTGAAAACCTAGAGAAGGGAAATAAACACGCTTCAAATCAAAGCTGCTAAATTGGAGGGGAGGGGAAATCTGAACTCAAGGCTGCTTTGCTTTAGGTCATAGCTCTTATCCACATGTGGAGTTTTAAGCGATCTTAGAAATAACAATAAAAACTACAGAAGGCTCCACCGGCAGGGTGCTATTTGAGTGTGACCGGAAGGAAGCACAGTTTTATAGGCAGAGAAGAGGGGACACTGTAAGTCTGCAAACAGAGGGAACAGCTCAGGAAAATGCACACTGATTAGTTCATCCTGGAACTCCTCATTAGTATCTAAATCCCGGAGGTTTAAATCGCTATATGAGATAGTACAGCATGCCCGTCTTCCTGTATAATTTAAATCCTCTCTGGATTCCTTATATACCTATGACAGTGCAACTGCTCTGTAACTAGCTGTTTCAGGTATTGTTTAGGGAACAGTGACAAGGAAAAAAGTTTCTACGTGTTCAGTACAAATGTGATTTTTTCCAATATTTTTGATTTGTTGATTGAATCTAGTATATAGTATCTGTCAATACAGAGAGCTGACTGTAAAGTAGATGGCCTAGATGAAATTTTCCTGGGACAATAGGAGGAAAGATTGGGAAGAGGAGCCAGGGACCCAAGAAGTCACAGCATGGTAGGAGCAGCTAGAGAAAAAAGCCATGAGAAAAGAACCCTGGGTGGCGTTACACTGCCAACACTCAGGTCTTAGAACCCTGGGTGGGGTTACACTGCCAACACTCAGGTCTTAGAACACTGGGTGGGGTTACATGCCAACACTCATTCCGAAGAAGTCTTACTTAAAGCCAAAGATGTCATCGTATTGCCATTATTGCTTGAGGACTTCAATAGAAAGAGTCAAAACTATCCAAATGAGGGTTTATAGATAAAAGGACAGCTACTGTTGTCCCACCATCTGGGAGGGTTTGTGGACCAGCAGTGAGGTCAGGCCTGGGGAGGGGAGTTAGGCCTTTACCTTGAGCATAAAATTTAAGGGATGCTAAACTCAGTTTTATATCCATATATATATTTCACTGATATATGTATTATATAATATATACTATAATATTCTGTGTTATTAGTAATATATATTTCAGTAATATATGAATTTCAGTAATACATATATTTCAGCAGAATTGTTTGTGTGTGTGTATGCTGCTGGGGTTGAACCCAGGGCCTCACATATACTAGGCAAGTGCTCTTCCACTGAGCCACATATCAAGGACACTCAGTGCAGTATTTTAAAAAGGCAAAATTAATGCATAAAGTCCATGATGAACATAAACTCAAAATGTCTCTGACTTCACCCTAATCCTGGCCCTAGCTACCCAGCCTGCCTGGTTTCCCTAGGTTCTTCCTACCTGCATGGGCCACCAAAATAAAATAAAAAAGATCAGTAAAGGCCTAAAAGGTAATTCCCTGCTTTAAAATTTTTTTACCGAACTGTTCTTTAATATTTCAATTTTCCCATTGGTGATTTTATGAATTGGCCAAGATTCATAACTAAAAATTAATGCAGGAAAACATATGTATCACTCAGGGTTCACCCAGTGTAGACACAACCAGAGACCCTATACTCAAATTCTAGGACTGCTCTCCACTCCTGTGAACTTGAGCATATTTCTGACCTCTGTGCCCCAGTTTCCTCGTCTTTAGAGTGGTCAGTAATAATACAGCCTATCTCATGAAGATGATGCAATGTATGCTCAGCTCTTCTGTTTTTTTTTAAAATTTTATTTTGAAAGTATACAACAGAACAAGACAGAGTAAAGCCAACTAAGATTGTACAGTGAAATAGGTACAGAACTTCACGGTAGGTTACCGGGATAACAGTAATAGGTACCATAGTATATTTTGTTATCTTTATAATAGTTGTTCTTTCAACCACGTATATCAAAATGAGATGAAATATAGAACACTATAGAACTTATTAAAACAGAATATTGAATAGAGCAGTACCATTAATCAGAAAAGAGCAAAACAGTAATAAAAATATTTGCCTTCAAAGAGATGGTAGAAGGAAGTCCCCCTTATTTGCTATGGTCAACCTCCCAGGAGACACTCAGATTTCTGGTTCCCATTTGCTAATGGGCAGGGCTGGGTGGGGGGAGAAGGGGGACAGGGAAATGGGATATTTGGCTCTAGGCCATGCATCAGCATCAGTAGGTTCACTATTGCTTAGTAGGGAGACAGGCTGGTTGTTTGGTTTCCCAGGGTCCTAAGTTCCAACATGGTGCGGATCTCAGGAGCTGCTGCTGGTTCTCCCCCTGGAAGGGCCGCAGATGCTCAGCTCTTTGAATGATTCCTTGCTCACTGACAGTGCTTTGCCAATCTCAGCTATGATTCTAATCTCTCCTTGGACTCCTTATTCTGTTGTCTGAGGACAGAGGAACTATGTGGCGTGATGAAGCAGATTTTAAACTTTTCATCCCTGAATTTGTGGTCCCCCTTTTAACCTCTTTCTTTGCCTCTGTTCTCACACATCCACCCCCTTTGGTCCTCACCCAGTGCCACAGTGTGCGAGGGCAGGTGCTCTAAGTATGTGCAGAAGCAGCACAATGTAGCATCCCTAGCTATGTTACTCTCTCCATAAACCCCAAAATTCAGATGCAGAAATAGTTAAAAACATGAGGACGACTTTCTTCTCTTTTGTAATGTTTGGGTCAGGAAGACAGCACCTGGGAGGAATGTTGAGACTAGACCTATGTTGTGAGTTTTCATGAAATCTGCTCAGTAGCAAGCATTTTTAAGGCTTGAGGGTAGATTTATTGAAGGTAAGTAGTATTTGGCCCAAGGTTTATACCCAGGGTCAGAGCCAAGGTCCTGTGCATTCCCTCTCCGAAGAGCTCCTGGTCAGGGAGCTCTGTAAGGCAGGTATGTGGTGTGATCAGGTGAAGACCCTCTGATTCAGGGGGCTCAGTGAGTCTTGGCTTTTGTAATGGAGAACAGAACTCCACTGTAACCTTTCCACCCCTCCCTTTCCCTTCTCTCCCCTCTCTCCTTCTCGCCTTCAGAATGGGATATAGACACAGGGAAGTGCCTGAAGACCTTTAAACACAAAGACCCCATCTTGGCCACCAAGATCAATGACACCTACATCGTGAGCAGCTGTGAGCGAGGGACAGTCAGAGTGTGGCACATTGCTACTGCCCAGCTAGTGAAAGTAAGCTGGGGGTGAAGGTGGGGGCCTGCTCTTCAAGGAGACAGATGGTTTCCCTGTGTAGCTTCCCAGACTGTCCTGGAGTAATTGAGTCACAGGTAAAATAAGGGTGGCCCTGAAGCACCAAAGGGAAAGGTCCCCATGGGGGACATTCTGAGCTGGTGCAGGGTCCGAAGCTCCACTGCCCACACTGTGACTCACATTGTCATAGGGATGGTGGAAGAAAGCTGCTTGTATAAACTCTCTTCTGTAACAAAGCCACTGCCTCTGCAAGATACATGGCTCTAAGGGCGTTTTAACAGCAAAATGGTCAAATTTGTTTTTCTCCCCAGAGTACATTTTACCCTGACTCTGGAATGAATTAAAGGGATGAACAAAACCCTTTATTCCTTTTTGCTTTTTTAGTAGGGTGAAAACATGAGGGGATGGGTAAATAATATTTATCCTCCTTACTCAAGAGGAGAGAACACTGTCTTGAAAGTGACTGGACATGTTTTTTCTATTGTTATAATAGAATAGTTGACAACTGGCAATTTATAAAGAATAGAAGTTTATCTGGCTTGCCAGGCAAGGTGGTGCACACCTGTAATCCCAGCAGTTGGAAGGCTGTGGCAGGAGGATTGCTACAAGTCCAAGGCCAGTCTAGGATACATAGTGAGTTCAAGGCCAGTCTGAACCATATAGCAAGTCCTGGTCTCAAAAAGCAAAACAAAACAAAACAAGCACCAACAACAAAAACAAAGCACTTATTTAACTCATTCTGGAGGCTTGGATGTATAAAAGTATTGTGATTGCATCTGCTTGGCACCTGGTAAAGGCCTCCTCCTGAGTCATGTCATGGTGGCTTCACATTGGCAGACACAGCAAGCATATCAGAGAAAGCTCTCTCTATAACAGCAACCCATTAATGTATAAATAAATTCATCCATCAGGGCAGGACTTCACAGTACAATCACTCCTAAAGACCTTATCTGCAAATACCATTAACATTTTGGATTAAGTTTCCAACACATGAATTCCATTGCACACACCCAAACCATAGCAAACGCTCACAAATGTTCACAAGCCCACCAGGAATAAGGTCCCTCCCAGGGCACATTCCTCCTAAGCTATGGACAGAGCTTCGCAGAAAGGGAGGCACCAATTCTTTTGGCTTTTTTAGAGCCAGAAATAAAACCTCAGTCATTCCAAGTAGTGGTAGCTATGGATGTTTGGAGTGTGGATTTGGTATCCATCAAAAGAAGCCTCTGGCTTTGGCCCTTGGAATAGTCACAGAGATAAGGGAGGGCTCAAAAATGTGACGTCTTTTCTTGCAGAATCTCAGTGGACATGAAGGAGCTGTGAAATGCCTATTCTTTGACCAGTGGCATCTTCTCTCAGGAGGTGCTGATGGCCTGGTCATGGCCTGGAGCATGGTGGGGAAGTATGAGCGATGCCTGATGGCCTTCAAGCATCCAAAGTAGGTGCTGAGGGACTTGGGACAGACAAACAGGAGCTCTCTGTTTCCCACTGCATCCTAGACTGCGGCTGACAGAGCGCACCCTTCTGTCACTGCTGACCTCTTGTCCTCTCCGTTCCTCACCCGTCTTCTCCTCTGCTGTTACTCATTTCCCTCCCTTCCACCTACCTTCTCTTCTGATCATTCCCTCTCCTACTCTCATTTGTTCCCTTGAGAAATAATAATATCAGTGTGAATTTTGAAGAGTCATTGAAATTTTATAGTTGTGACACACATGGCAAATTTACATCTGGTGTTGGTCAAACATGTGAGTAGTTGTAGGACCCTCCCAGACAATGCCAGCTCTACATAACCTTAAAATTCTTGGAATTGGATTTTAGCCCAAGAATCTTTTCTTATAAAAGCTGAAATAATCCAAGGTTTAAATAGTGAAGGATTTAGGATTTTTTAAAGTTTTTTAAAAAGTCTATGGGCTAAATTCTACTGCAGGACTGCAAATGGATTTCGCTTTACAATCTAATTCAAATTTAGTGGCATTGATTGATTGGGCCAATTAAGAAGTACAGTATTGTGAGGTCATAGCTGGGCTTGTTTAGAAAGAGTTTTGCGGTGAATTAAGAATTCTGCCATGACCTTGGGTTTTAAAGGCTGCTCTATGGCATTCTTAGATTACATGGACAACACTTCTTGCCTCTGAGTATATTATAAAATAGTCCAGAAAAAATGCTATCTTAATTCCTTAAAAGAGTAAGTAGATTTCCCACAACATCTAAACATCTATCAGTAAAGTATGGCTTTAGATTTCCTTATACTCTCATAAGACTTTTTTACACAGGCTAATTGGTATTGAGGGTAATTTAAAGGGATATGGGTTTATATGGGCTTACTCTCTTTGTGTGACATACATTGTATTAACAGGTGGATGCCAGGGTACACCTGTGTCCAGTGATTTATCCAACCCTTAGGCCACTGTCAGCCATTTAGTTTGTTATCTGGATTATCAATGCTTGATCTTAAGGGAGGAACCAAACTTTATGATGTCACAAGAAAATTACAAATTCTAGGCAGTGTTTAGTAGGATTTAGTTTTTGAAAAATAATGTGTTCCCATCCATAAATCCATTCCACCAAGAGTCCTCTTCAATGACCACTGCCATTGAGTAACCACCACCAAGAACTAACCATATCTTAGTTCTTGATAACTGGCATGGTCAGAGAAAAGACACAGACATCTGGAAAACGTGACCAACACTTTGTAAGTGCTCTTCCTCTGTAAGCGCTGTGTAGATGTAAGTGCTCAATAAATGCATATAATTGATAAAACCCACTAATTTGACAGATGGCCTTGCAGGAGAGTTCTAATGATTGGACTCATACCCACCTTTTAGATATGCTGTAAATAAGAAAACAGACATAGTTACTCTCTGTCCTTTGTAGAATAACTGGAAACAGATCTTTCTTGAGTCAGCACTTTCCTCAATGAAATTATGATTTTGAAATGAGTGTGAAAGAGAATGTATGTAAGAGAAGAAATTGGAGATTGTAAAGTAGGCTTGACAGAAATCATAATCTTTGACAAAACTTTTGTTCTCTGTGAGGTTTTCTTCTAAATGGCTTTATTCTTCAAATTCTTTTTCATAGTTCATATTGTAATTAGACTTTTTGTAATTTTTAATTAGAATATCATAGACACCCCGCAAACTTTGCCACTTTAGTTTACAATTTAATAGTTTTTGGTAAAGTCACACTGCTATACAACCATTATTACTACCTACTTACAGAATATTAACATTAGTCAGTAAAAATGTTCCACGTTCTTCTGACATTAATATTTTCACTCTTCTCTTTTTCTTGGTCAGTCTAAATAAAGATTTGTCTAAATGTTCGTCCATCTATTTAAAAACCAACCTTATCAGTTAGATACAAAAACAGTTTACAATGGGAGATCTCAGTAGCTCATTGTCACAGATAGACAGATCAACTAGACAAAAAAAAAATCAACCAAGAAATACAAGCATTGATCTAAACTTTTGAAGATAGAAAATCAAAAGATATCTGACGTGTAAGCAGGCTAAGATATGCTTATGGGGCCACATAGTTACTGTATTTCCATCTCGGAAGGAATTAGAACTTTTCTGAGCGTTTAAATACTTCTGTTATAGCTTAATTTCTCTGTCACTCTACGTCTCTGTCTCTCTCTACCCCATCCCCAGGGATTCAAGTCACACAGCCCTCCTTGTTACTCTTTGAATATGCTGAGCACGTACATACCTTTTGAGTTATTTTTACTGTTTCTGTTATGTCAGTTATTAAGGCCTTGAAAAGTTCTTGTTTGGCCCTGGGACCTGACTGTGGCTAAGACTAACTGGTATGGGGTGGACTTAATTCTTTTAATACTTTGTAGCAAGAAGTAAACTCTGAAAGCTTGGACAGTCAGTTATTTTTCAACAAATGTATATTGAGTACCTGTAATAGGCTAGGCGCTGTGATGGGTGCTGATCATGCAGTAATGTCTATGATGTGAGGTGCATCGCCAAGCATCTGACAACATACCTGAGGTTTGTATACGTGTGTGATGGAGAGACAGTGGAGATAAGAGATGGTTTTTGGAATATATAAGCTAGGCAATGGGTGGACCTTGTTTTAGTCCATTTTCTGTTACTATCACAAGATCACTGAAGCTTATTAATTTATGAAGAGAAGAGTTATAAAAACAATAAAGAAAATGTTTTATAGTGCAAAATCAAGCAACTGTATCTATTGAGCTTCTGGCAAGGACCCTGCTTGGATGCATCACAATAAGGAAGAGAAACAGGAAAGGAACGAGGCCCATACAGTGTGGGCCAAGAAAATGGGACAGCCTTGTGTTACAACAACTCACTCTTATAGGTACTAACTGGGATCCCGTGAAATCTACATTAATTATTTCTGAAGGCAGTGCAGAAGTGACCACCAATGGTCAGTGATCTCTAATTACCTTACCACCTTCTACTTAAGCTTTACTTCTTAAAGTTACCCACCTCTCAACCCTGCTACCCTGGAGGGGAGTGGGGATCAAGCTTCCAGTCCAGGAACCACTGGGTGACACACTTGAACCACGTGGATCCCAGAGCAAACCTGGCTGGGTAGAGATGATAGGTATTTATTGTTACCCAAATATTGAATATTGTAATCCAAGTATTGTAATCCCTTCTCCAGTCTTCCTCACAATCCGAAAAATTGTATTTATAATCTCATTGAAACACTATTGGAATCCGGACAAGTTAATTCCAATCTACCCTTCCAGGGAAACCCACAGTGAGAATAAAGACACAAAGACATATTCAAAGTTAAGAGCAGCCAAGGGGTCCTAAGTCCAATCCCTGTGAGGATGTGCAGACAAAGGCCCTGATCCTAGACCTTTTCCAGAACTTATTACCTTGTGAAGAAGAGGGTGGCTTAAGGATGAGTGACGGTGGGGATAGTGGGAACTACCTGAGTAGCTTGAGCTAGCTAGCCAGGAAGGGAGAAAACCATCTTTGCAAAATGCAGGGAGAACGACATGCACAAGGATCGATTTGCCTAATTCAATTAAGGTAGCACTTGAATTGTTTTTGGAAGCTGTTGCTCAGTTTCCAATATGTAAACATTTGTGCCCTGGGGACTCATCACTTCCTTATTTCAAGGCTGGTACCTAGTTGACATTCTTGGAACTGATTGGCTCTGCCACCACACTGTGCTCAGATCTTTTATAGAGAGCACGGTGAGAGGAAACAGGAGACTGTCAGATTGGCCCCAAAGATTACATACCAGTACTTCAGCTGGCCTTATTTGCATTGCTTAGAGCCAATTGAAGAGAGAAAGGAATCACACAGCCCACTCTGTTCATATCAGTATATGGAAATGAGACAAATGTTGCAGCAATTGTTCTGTATCAAGGGGTGTTACTCAAATTGTCTCCTACAGGTACTAATGGACAGGCTTTGCATATCGGACCTAACAAATCAGTGGCATCAAATTCAACTTTTCAGTGTCTTGACAGGAATGAGGAAATTTTATTTGTCAGAATTAAATACACCGCATATCTGGGGTGCAACTTATATCCAGCTGCTGCGGTTAGAGACATGTGCTGGTCATCACAAAAGGATAATCATAAATCCCATCCCTGCTACAATTTTCCTTAAGGATGTTAAGGATGATTATGCATTGAAAGAATCAAAACAGCTAATTCGAGACCAACAAGAAACTGCCAAATTTAAGGTTTCTTTTTTTATATAAAGATTAACCTTTGAAAATATAGTAATAATTTTGCAAAGCAGTCAAAACATTACATAATTCTCACCATGGCTTTTGTATAAATAAATAGGAATCAAACTGCAAAGAAAAAACCCCACGATCATCTATCCATGAGATTCCTTGTTCTGCCCCCATAATCTGTGACATAAGCCTTTTGGTTTTGTTGCCTTGTGGCCCTATGGCCAAACTGCAGGAAACGTAATCGCAGAATGGGAAGAGGTACGTCTGAGCATTAATGGTTTATACCCAGAAAAATGATGGAAACATTACTTGGAAGATAGTTACGACTATTGCCACCCAGTCATAAATGAAATATTCCAAACAGCAAAGAAATGCAGGCAGTTTTCCTGCAGGCTGTGTCTGCCTGTTACCCTCTTCCCTTCTAGGGAGGTGCTTCACGTCGCGCTTCTGTACCTCCGAGTCATCAGCGCCTGTGCAGATGGCAAGATCCGCATTTACAATTTTCTCAATGGAAACTGTCTGAAGATGATAAAATCTAATGCCAGAGGTGATGCTGTGCTATCCTTCTATTATCAGGACAACAGGTGGGTTGTAGGTGTGGAGAACTGGGAGCAAATCTGTTGATGGTTTGTCTTCCTCTAGGAGGGTCACAAGCCCTGGATGTACAACAGGAAAGTGGGTAGTGTCTCCCTCCAATTTTGGCCGTCTTTTGGAGTAGTGGTCTTGTGGGAGGCTAATGGGCTTTTCACAAAACAAAGGAATCAGAGTTCATTTCGACTCAACTCATTCTGGATATTTGAGGAAATCACGAAGTGGGTGTAATATAGTTCTTTTGTCAGGACCACACTTGTGCTAATACTGAACCCTTTTTCCCCTTTGATCATGCATTCAGCTGCTCAGAGCTCTGTGTTAACTGTCTTTGTCATCCACCTCTGGTGCAGAGATACTTATAGAGGGGTGAGGGAGGGAGGTCACAGTGAAGGGGGTTCAGTGAGGGAACTCTAGTTGGGGAGAGCTGAACAGGAGTTTATAGAAACCAGCACCATGACTGAACTCATAGCATGCAGTACTGTGCTTGTTATGTGTGAACTGCTTCAGGGTGATATTATGTCAAAACAACCAAATAGAATTAACCTGTAGTTTATCTCAAACTTGCCTAGCCATATTGCCTTCCATGTAATGAAAGGTCATTAATTCTATTTACCATTTTAAGGGAAAAAGTGGCAGTGAGGTTCAGCAAATGGATACTTTTCAGTTTTGATGTAATAACGTTGTAAGAGGTTGGGAAATACTTCTGTTAGGGCTTGCGGTGGGTTCAGTCACCAGTGTTCTGCTCCCACCAACCCAAACCAAACCAAACCAAACCAAACCAAACCAAGCAAAACAAAACACAAAACAAACCTAGCTCCAACCTTTTCTCATTCACAGCATCCCAAAGGAGATCATTTCCTTTATCTCGTGTTGAAAAAAAGTCTGCAAAGATTTCTTAGTGGAATTAGATCTGTCAAATCCTATCCAATGTTACTATCTCAAACATATTACTTTTCTAGAAAGTTTACCCTAGTGGTTAAGGTCTTAAAATTGCAGCCTTTGTAGTAGAAAGGATCCTCTACCTAGTATTTATATTTCTTGTTCATAGATCCAGGAGATCTGACAGAGAGGAGCAACCAGTTTGCTATGTGTAAAAAACCAGTAGTGCTGGGGAAAAGCATTAGAGAAGATAGAAATCATCCTGCTTTATAAGGGCCTTTGTCAATAGCTGGAGTATGTCCAGAGGGTTAGCATGGAAAGTGGTCTCTGTGTGTGAAAAGTCAATAGGACAGAGAAGGCCTTTCCAGTACAGAGTTTTCATTCTTATAACTGGAATAGAAACTGTCTGACATTTTAGGTCTCAGAAGAAAACATAAAATTTAAAAAGGAGTGAATGCAAGACAGTTGTGTGTGGAATGCCTAAACTTCTTCCTTGGTTGCTCTAGGTTATTGAAAACTCATTGAAAAAACATTCAAGGTTGGGTGCAATGGCTCATATCTGTAGTTCTGGTTACTTGAGAGACTGAGGCGGTGGGGGGGGATCACAAGTTCAAGGCCAGCTTGGGCAATTTATTGAGACCCTGTCCTAAATTTTTTTAAAAAAGGCCAAGGATGTAGCTCACTGTGAGCCCTGGTTGCAATCCCCAGTTTTAAAAAAATTATAGCTTGAGAAGCAAAGCGATCAGAACACATCCGCTCTGTCTGTTCATGTTTATTTGTTAAAGAAAGCTAAGTACCAGCTGTATAACTTGGTCCCTTGCTTTGCTCCCCACCCACCCACCAGCACCTTACCCTATTTTATGGCTATTGCATGGGCACCACCTAAGGCTGATGAGACAGTAACCGCAATGCACGTTTGGGCGGCTTCCATGCTCCTTGTTGGGCAACCTTGTTTCGGTTCCAGGATGGTGGTCAACACAGAGAGCAATATTCTGCTGTTCCAGTTTGAGAATGTAAAGTGGCAGTACTCACACGACAGAAGCAAGCAAAAGAAGAGTAAGGAGAAAGAGGAGGAAAAAGAAGAAAACGGTCTCCTGGACCTTCTTTTCAAGTCTAGCACTCAAGTTCACAGACTAAAAGAATCTATATCCAGTAGTAAACAAATTGTCATCCAGGAGGTCCTACTAGACAAACCTCAGAAGTCTCAACTTCTGCTGAATCCAAGCAAGTTATCTGCAGGTAAAGGAGCCAATCTGCAGAGAATCCCAGTGATAACCAAGGGAGCAGGGGAGGGGAACCCAGGACTGGTTTCTTGAAGGGTATTTTGGCCAAGGGTTTCTTAATGACATAAATCCTAATCCTTCAAGAAGTTTGCTTTGATCCATCAATTTGTTAGCAAAGCTAAAGGGAAAATTTCTTTCATGATCTATATTTTCAAATTTATTAACATCGTTGTATAGGAGATTATATAGTAACCTTATAATTGACATTAAAAAAAGCAATCAACATTTCCTACTCCCTAAATCCAAACAAATATTATATACCTTATATATTTCCTCGGAACAGAAGAAGTTACTATAAGTAGAAAAAAGTTTTATATAGAAAGTATCATCTTTAGACCTTTGAGAGATTGGAAAATATCAGTTATAAATTGTTTGTATATATGTTTATGTGTACATGTATGCAAGTGTGTAGGTGGAAGTGTGCCATTTATAATATTTAAGGGATAAATTATATGGAGGTTAAAGCAGCAAAACTCCTTTTTACCTGTCCTATATGTGGCATGAAATTTGATACACAGATCTAGAGAACATCAATGGACTACTTCCAAGCATAGCATTCTCAACATAGCCAATCTTGAGGAGCCAAGCCTTTTAGATAATGCTCAGAGCTTGAGGAAGAGATCTAAACATTAGACTGTAAGTGCCTACTCAGTTTAATATCAGAATAACCAATGCATTGATATTTTGAGTGCAACTCAGTTGAATTATGAGCCTCCATTATTGCTATTTCTATTACTATCCCCCCATGAGTCAGACCTACTTAAGTTATATAATCACAGCAGTTTCTCCTCAGTCTTACGTTAGCCATATTTCCAGGTATAACTCAAAGCTAAGGAAGCCAAAATCACCCCAGAAAGATGACCACGAGAGAACTGGTTCTATTCATAGGGGAGTAAATGGCATTGACGATGGGCAAGAAAAATTCAAGATGGAAGATAAGACGGTGGTGCTTTATTTGAATTAGTGGCAAGGTTCAGGATCCAGTCTCTGTCTGTCTGTTTTGTGCACACATGTTCTTCTTTAGTTTTTTTTTTTTTTTTTTTTTTTTAGCAGACTTTAGCTTATCTTTGAGGATTCAGAATGGATATAAGGTCTGGCTTCACCGTAGAGTGACCAGTTTCTTCTAATTGTCCTCTTACTAACTTGAAGGTCAAAAGCAAAATACCTTTCTAAGACCTAAGGCTCACAGTCTACTACCGTTCAGCTTGGTGGTTTCTTGCACAGTTGTGTCAGTAGTCTGAGTAATGGGCACAGCAGAAGGCTGAAGAGGAGGTTGGGCTGGTTGGATTGGTTATAGGGGATTTCATGAGAGAGAGGAGAGATTTTGGGAGGGTAGGACATACTGTGCATATGACATAAGGAAATATGGGGAGAGAGAGAGAGAGAGAGAGAGAGAGAGAGAGAGAGAGAGATGCACATCTATATTCCCTGTACTTTGGAAGGCTGGACTAGAAGGATAACAAAACTCAAGCCTTACCTGACAATCTCAGTTACTTAGGAAGACCTTGTCTCAAAAAATAAAAAAAATAAAAATTAAAAAAAAAAAAAACGGCTGAGGATACAGCTCAACACAAAGGCCTTGGTTCAATTCCCATTAATGCAAACAAAAACAACCACAATCTCAGAAAAATCAGAGAAATGAAGAAAAGTTGCTGAGTAGCATGATTGGACTGTCCCTTCATCATTTTTGAAGGATATTGGTAATAATTCCTTTCAAATATTTTTTAGTGTAGTAGTCTTTCTTTACAGCAGACATATTTCAAGGCAAGGTCAAAATAATTTTGATGAAAATTATGCTAATTACGAACATCTTGTATATACCTGTGTCTGTAAATCCGAACAAGGTTGCCTATAGTGAAAAGTCTAGGGAATGAAATTGCTGAGCCAAAAGAAAGGTGCATTTAAAAACTAGGAATTTATTGCCATGGTAATTCTTAGAAGCACAGAATTACTTTACACTCCCACTAACAATGCACGAGAGCTCCTCTCGAGACCATGGTAACTTTGGGTGTTATCTATTATCTCCCACATGCTTACATGGTAGTAAAAATTGTATGTGTTTCTTTCAGGTTGGTCATTAATTAAATGTCCAACAATGAGCAATGGCTAAGAATCTATACCTTGACTATGTGGTGACAGTTAGTAATTGTATAATGGGAATTGCAGTGAAGTAGACATGTAAATAGACTTGGAAAAATGTCCAAGATATATTATTTTGCAAAAAGGCAATTTAATAAACAATGAACACATTCCAATGCCTTTTTTAATAAAAGGAGAAAAATTCTTTGTTTTTTGGATTTGGAAGGAGAGGGCAGATTTTTTACATTTCAACTCACTGAGTTTTATTAAAATGTTGTCAGGCAACAATTTGAATTTTCATTTTATCTTAATATGTCTATCTTAGGATAAAAACTATCGGATCAAGAGGAATCATATGCATAACACATTATTGTATTTTATGTGCTGGTGCAACTTGGGGTTCAGACTTTGGATTCTTATGTGTTAAGTTCCAGACTAGATGAATACTTGTACTTTCATGATTGTTATTCCTTTTGAAAGTGAGGATAATGTTATCAGCAAGGCATTGTAGGGACTGAAAAAGCCTAAATGAAATCGAGATAATATATATTTGTTTACCTGCGAAGATATCTTCATTAACCTATTGTTCTTAGATTTCCCAGAAGTCTTGACTATAAAGTGATATATGGGAAGGATTCTCCTATTCTGGTCATTAGCTTTTGGACTTGCTGATATTTTTAATCATGTTATAATGTTTTGTATTTCCCAGGGGTGATATAGTCTTCAAAGGTCTGATTTTGGGAAATGTCCTAGATCAATGGAAATCAACTCTTATTAGTAAAATGGAGATCAAACTTTGTGATATAATTATCATTGAAAATATAGGTATATTATTATACATATATAAGATATGTTTTGTGTGAATCATAAATTGATATGAGCAGGTCAGTTCTACAGGGAAGTTTCCAAAATTTGCACAATACTGGAATCACACATGCCTTCAAATATGCATATTTAAAAGCTAGTACACATTTTATATGAATTTAGCATATTTATTTAAAAATTACTTTGTTCATCATTTGTTGTATTATCAAATTTCTGATACCACTAGGGATGTTCAACACGTGATGGTATGCTTGTTGGGCAACAATATCTCATTGTGTCTAGCAGTTTAGAAGTTAGGATGGCTTTAATTTTCATGCATAAGTTAATATGCAATATTTTCATACAATGCTGTTGTTTTTCTTTTTGTTGAAGTAGATGATGAGGAGGAAATGCAACTACAAAAAAAAGTGAAATCTCCTGCAAAACTGATCAGGTATTCAAAGAAAAATTCCTGGGAAAAGCCTATGTCACCGGACCATTTTCTTTTGACTCTCAGTGCCTTGCAACAAGCCAACAATTCTGGAAAATTTACCTATCCCCATAAACCCCAAATCCAAGTCGTGGATGCTGTGGTACCTTCAATTTCTTTCCCAAGGAAGGTCCTGAATTTCAAGGGAAAGTCCATCCAACATGCAGTTGATAGGTTGAAATTCAATAATGCTCCCATAGATGTGAAACAAACTGAAATTCCCCTTGAAGTCCAGAAACTGAAGCCTAATTTGAGGAAGTCTTTGCATAGTCCCAGTATCCAGTCTACCATACCCCAACCCATGCTCATCCGCCCCAGATTGTCTGACAGCTTAAAAGGTGGACACCCCTTGACCAGTTCAATTGAAAAAGCAGCCCACAGCCGAGGCCCCCCGACCAGCATGAAGGTCATTCAACCCAGCCACATGGCAGCTCCACAAGAGAACATGGCTGTGCAGATTCTCAGGAAGGAACGGCCTCACTTCTACACGACTCTGGATCCCCTCCGAATGAATACAGAATTCATGCTGTTAACCGTGAAGAAAGAGAAGGAGTATGAGGAAGCCAAGATGAGACAGTATCAGGGCGAGGAGCCCACTAGAGTGGTCAGTCCAGGGAGAGCAAGCAAGACTGCATGGATCCGGAAGATCAAAGGGCTGCCTATCGATAATTTCTTAAAGCCAGGGAAAATAGCAGCCCCTGAACTCGGACAAAATATGTTTATCTAAATGAGCTTTGGGAAATAGCAGGTTTATGCTTACTCTCCCTTCCTCCCTCCCTTTTTTTGACGATTCCCTGGCAATTAATGTGGAAATTCCTATCTTCCTGCCAGCCAAAGAACTGATACTCTCAAAGTAAGAAGGAGAAAGATGGGAGATACTGGCTTCTGCATTTTCATTAGAAATGATTCAGTGAGACTTTAGGAACTTCAATTTCGTTGATAGGTGGTAGAGAAGGTCTATAAAATTAGATACCACTCATCACTACCAATGTCAAGATATCATTTCTTCCAGGAAATGAAGTAACAGAATTGTGTCAGAATAATAAATTGAAATTTGCTAATATTTTGTTGTGGACATTCAAGTGAGTTACCCTAAAAGGGTGAAGCTGTAGACAAGTTAACATATTTGAAAATATTTTGTGTGTATTTCTTTCTTAAGGTTAACTCCTTTGGGAAAAAAGGGTTTTCATCTTTCCAACAAAGAGGGATATTAATATCAAGTGGGTTGAGATTTCTATTTAAACCTTTGGAGGGTAGTCAGAGATCAGACAGTAATGCAGAGAAGTATAGCCCTTCATTAGGGTCGTGTCCCCCTGAAGAGCCCACCCTCCATCCACTGGGGACAGCTCCTATCTCAGCCTGGTCAGATCTTGCCCTCCACTTTTAAAGAATAATGAATTCAAATTGTTGTTTTTACTTTAAGGAAAGTAAAGTTCCATAAAACCCCACCACACTGAGTAGGCCACCAAACACATGATTCAGACAGGCTAGATGCACAGATCATCTATCCAAGGATAAGCATGTATTTACTTTGCCAAGCTCTCACGCTTCTTTGAGAAATGTGTGTGTGTTTCACTATTTTGATACTAAGTTTAAAATAACACTGATAAATACACATGTTAAAAATATTTTTCAAGTGCACAGAAGGGATCCAATCTATGCTCTCCCACATGCTAAGCAAGTATTCTACTACTCAAATACACCGCACCGCAAAATCTGTAGTTTTCATGGAAAGAATCCCATAGTATTACAGCCTTCTGACAATTCTGACTTAGGTCTGGCAGACAGGCTATTCCTATTTCAGGACGTCTTGAAAGCCTCTGAATTTTAGTTCTAGCTAAAATCACACCATTAGCAACTGAACTTCAAACAGTAACAAAAAAGTGTCTCATTTACTAAATACCTTGTAAAGATATCATCCATTTCCACTTTACCACTGAGGAAAAAAAAAAGTAGAGGCTTATATAATAGGTAATAAATAGTGGGCAGTGGTTGAAATTCAGGCGCCCAAACTTCAGGGGGCAAGTGTAAACCTCAATTCTTTATTGTGTTCCAGGGCGGCTCAGGTTATTCCTTTCCCAAAATGCCTGGTGTTGCTTAGAGTCCTTTTGCTTTGTTCTTTCCACCCCTTCGTAAGAGCACATTTTTTTCAACTGCTTCTAAAATTTAATACACAAAAGTAACAATGTACAGGAAAACAGGTCGATGTAAGTTAATAAAATTATGGAATAAAGTTCCATCCTTCACACTCAGGTCATTGACGTTGACAGTAATGTTTTTACAGTTTGCACTTCACAGGCAATGAAAAACATTCTCACCCAGGGCGAAACAGAATAGCCTCCCGTTAGATCTGACTGTAGTTCCGGGTTTCTTTCCAGACTGGTAAGTACTTAGCTTCTAATTGGATCAGACCTCAGATCGCCCCGCCCACAACATCGCCCCGCCCCTAGATAGCCCTACACGCGGCTTTTCCAGCCTGGAATTGCTCCTCCCTCCGGCAGTGCCTAGAAGCGGAAGTGGCGCTGGAAAATAGGACCGGGTTGGGGCCTGTGCTATATTAGCACCTTCCGGGCTCGTAGTGACGAGTCCGCCGAAGTTGCACACCGGACTCGGCTGCCGCTGCGCTGACGTGGCCCCCGGAAGTGGGGTTTGCGCAGGGTTGCCATGTTGCCACAGGTGAGGGGTTGTGGGGTTCGGGAGAGGGCAGCTGCACCTAGGGGGCTGCCTTGTTGTGTTCGTGGGACGAGACCCGGGCTTCCCGGGGCTGTTGCGCCCCTGCCTGCCGCCCGAGTTCGAAGTAGAACATGCTGGGCGGGCGAGAGTGGAGGACCGAGGACTGTTGTCCGGGGAGGGATTCTGGGTGCCCCGAGGCTTCTGGTGAGCTGGGGCAGGGAAGAAGCCCGTCGCCTGCAAATGTCAACATTTGGTTGACTCCCGGGCTGGGCAGCAGCCACGCTGTGGGCTGGAGGTTGTGGATAGTTGCGCTTTCCTCAGCCCGGCGTGCACCGGCTGGGAGGAGGAAGGCTCTGCCGGTGGGCATGTCTCGGATTTCTCCTGACCCTGTAGAAATGTCAGAAAACGCCAGAGTCTTGCATTCGGTTTGTTACCACACTAACACTGGCGGTGATTGTCTCTCTTTTTTTTAATTTAGTGTATTAGTACATGTGTGTAGTACATATATAACTTTCTTGTGGGAAGTTAGTACCTGTAACACATCTTAACTTTATTTTTGTCCTCTTTTCTGTCCCTCTATCTCTCCTCCTCCTATTTCTCGATCGTCCCTCCCCCTTTTTTGGTACGTGTTTCCTGTACATAATGTTTACATTCCTTGTGTGGAGTTGGTACATGTACATACTATCATAGTTTTCATCTTTCCCTCTATTTCTCTCTCTTAATCTCCTTAACCTTTGAGAACTATCTGTCTCCCTACGATTATCTGTCTTTTGATTTGCTCTTTATTTTTACTCAGGGTTTCTTAAAAGAGACCACAGGTTTTTGAACCGAGGTTGTAAGACATTTAGTAATCTCTTTTAAAAAACACTATTTATAGTGCACTTTGACCTAAGTTATCTTTCTCTTCTCTCTCTCTCTCTTTGAGATAGAGTCTTTCTGTGCAGTTCAGACTGGCCTTAAACTCACCGTGTAGCTTAGGCTGGTTTTAAACTTGCAATGATCTTCCTACCTCAATCACCACACCCAGCTTCTATTAAATCCCACCCCTATTTGTTTCATGAATAATTTATTGAGAATTTATTGAGAGATTGCTGTGGCTCAAACCCTATTCTTCAGGCCCAGGCATGGGACTGGACTCAGTACAGACATGTTTTTTTTTTTTTTTTAATGCCTTGTATTGTAAGAGTGGGTGCAGGGGTTAGATTCCAGGACTTGGAGGCTGCAGAGGGTCAGGGGAGGGGAGAGATGATAAATTACATAACGAAAGATATTTTCGGGCCATGGTAGCAGAGACAGAAATGAAATGACAAGTATATAAGTTTGGATTTATAGTCAGAAAAGACCACTATGAGTTGGTGTCTTGAATGGAGAAAATAGTGGTAGTTCAAGTTTAACTCTGATGGTGCTCACAGGCCGAAAAAGGTGGTGAAGCAGGCCCACATGCAGCTCTTCTTGCTTTATAAGTGTGTTGTTGACCAAGGATCTCAAGCCCTTTATTGCTAGGCGGTCATCTTTCTGCCTCAGCCTGCCAGAGTAGGATTACATGCATGTGTCCTGCACCCAGCTTACCTTCAAGATTCTTAATACAATAGCTGGCATTTCCTTGTGAATCAGAGCATGTCAATCCTATGCTCAGAACACTGTTCACCTCAAAAATTTTTTATAAAGTTCCTATACTAGCATCTTAATATGCTTAAAATCAAACTTTGATTTTGCCTCTAAATCTGTTGCATACATCATTTCCTGTCTTAATAAACAAAGGCAATTGCAAGAATGCAGAGATACTCTTTTTTTTTTTTTTTTCCCATACCACTTAAAACAGGGTCAGTAACTTAGCAGCCCTTCTGAGTGACTAAGGGAGACTAATTTTTCAGAGAGCAGGATAGAAGAGTGATCCAGATAGTGGACCACAAATACAGACGGACTCAATGTGACACAATTGTGGTGTGTTTAAGTGACTAAAAAGAAGCCCAGTCTGACAGGACCTTAGTTATTGTTTGTTTCCTGTTTTATATAAAATTACCATAAATTTAGTGGCTCAAAACAAATTTCTTACAGTTCTTGTGGTCAGAAGTAAAAAATGAGACTTTTGTGATAAAATCACGATTTGAGCAGACCTTTGTTCCTTCTGGAGGTTTTAGAGGAGTCTGTGTCTTTAACCTTTTCCAGTTTTCTGAGGCTGCCTGTGTTCCTTAGCCAAGCACCTTGTTGCTCTGACTTCCAAAGCATCAGCAGAGCCTAGGCACATCTCACTCTGCCCCCTTGTATCACCATGTTTGACTCTGACTTTCCTGTGCCCCATTTGAGGATCAGCATGATTATATCCTTGGGCCCATCTGGATAATTCAGACTAATCTCCCAAGATCATTCATTTGATCACATCTACGAAACTTTGTTAAGGTAAGTAAGTATGTTCACAGGTTCCAGGGATTAGAACCTGTATGTCCCACATTGACTGAGAAGAGACTTTATCACCCTACACAGTTAAAGAGAGAGTAGCCTGAGAGGTGTTAAAGGTGTGCAGAGAAAGATCATGAAAGAGTAAGGAATCTGTTTTTCAGTCAATGTGCCGTGAGTTTTAAGGTGGGAAATGACAGTTTAAGATGACATTGTCTTGCTGCCTGCTGAGTGGAGGTTGGCCTGTTGGGATCAAAAGCAGAGGGCCACAACTTTTTATTCCTTAGCATTGCTTGGTAGGTAGATCTTAATCTTGGCTGTGTGGTTCATTTATGAGAGAGCTTTAAAAAAAAATCCAAACGTCCTACTCACGCTCCAGACCAATTACATCTAAACCTGTGGGGATGGTACCCAGGTATCATTTGTTACTTTAAAAAAAACAAAAAAAGTATTTTGTCTAGTCGAGAACCACTGGTCACAAGGATCTGATTCCATTTTACCTGTCCACTTTTAGCTTCTATTCTGCTTTTCTCACCTTTCTTGTACTATATGGACTGCGTGGTCATTCCACATAGATACCTTGTGTATTTCCTCATCTATGCCTTTGAACACATAGTTGAAGGACTGAGCGAGAGACTCTGAAGGCTCTACTGATAAACTTTCTTCCAGGAAACTTCCCCAGACCCTCTAATGGAAAGGATTCTTCCCTCCCCCGGGCTCCCATTTGCAGTCACATGTTTCTAGACACAGTGTGCAATACATTATGGGTAATTGTTCCCTTGTTTATTCAGTCATACTGTCAACAAATACCACTTGGCTAGTGTGGTTGTGAACTAGTATTTATTACAGTAGGAAGAGTCTTTGTCCTCCAGCAGTGTCTAGGCAGAGGTAGGAGGGACAGGTTTGTAAGAATAGCTTCTGATAATTCATCTAAGGGTTTCTCCAAGGGGTGGATTGCAGGGGAAGTTTCCCAGCTACGTCTGTATGTGATATGAAATGTGGAGGGCCAGCTGGTGTTTGCTGGATGGTGAACTTGGTAGGGGGTGGGGAAAGGCAAGAGCATTTTGAATAGACAGAACATGTGGAAGGCAGGAAGACAGGAGAGGCCCTGCAGTACCTGTGTGGCGGGCCTGGGGGGAGGGAGTGTCAGGTAAGTGGGGGCATCAGATCATGCGATCTATACTTTACGAGGAGGAGTTATGTTATCCGTTACTTGGACGCACACCATTGCAAAGTTTGAGCAAGAGAGTCACATCGCGCGGTTTCTGTGGTGGACACTTGGGTAATGTAGAGGAGGAGCTGGAGCAGAGCAGGGTGGATGGAGAGACACAGGCAGGGAGGCAGGTGGGTGGCACTAGGGAGGGCACAGTTCGCAGGGTCCTTGAGGTTGAAGCTGAGGGGAGTTGCAGTGAGTGGAGCTGTGAGCCCTCACATCCCAAGGCAGTGAGAGGAAGGAGTGTTCCATGAAGGTGGATGGTGGAAGGCCAGTTCAGGCTTAGGGTTTTAAAAACCTTTTTTGAACAATAAGTTCTTAAAGAGGTATGCGTGCTGACTAGAAAGATTTGATAGAATTGAAGATACAAGAAAATAGAAGTAAAAGGGAAAATGATAGAAGAAGCCTCTGACAAGGCACGAAGAGGAAACGCACAGCGAGGTGGTTTTGGGAGGGTGCAAAAACAGAGTTTATCCTCCATAGTCTCAGCTTTCTCTGTGACCTAGAAACGGCACCTGAGGGTTGGTGTAAGTTTGCAGGACCATTATCTGCAGTCCAGCATTTTTGGAGAGGTTGGTAGCCCAGGAATCGGTCTGGGAATAACTCAATGTGGGATGACCGTGTTGGTATTTGCCAGATGTTTGAAGTGGGAGGAGAAGATCAACATACGTCTTTCTCCTAGGTTGTGAATTCCTGATGGCTGTGATGATGTCTTAAATTTTTATCTTCCTTTTGATGAACATGCATCTTTGCGTTGTGCTGGCTATGTAAATACTGAATTCCATTTTGTTTCATAGATGTTTAATTTTCTTACCAGGACAGTAATGATGATGCTGAAGATGTTTCACTGTTTGATGCCGAAGAAGAGACAGCTACCAGACCTAACAGGTCCAAGATCAGGTGAGAGGTGTTGCACTGTGTTAGACAGAACACAGTGCTGTTCTGTCTCTGTGTTGGTGTCGCTTGGTGGGATTGAAGGTGGAGTGGTTACAGTGTGCTTGTGAATTGTATGTTGCTAATTGGGTTTAGTGTGAGACTAGGAAATAACTGGTATACGGTCTTTTATTGAGTCCTGAGCTTTCAAATCAGCAAGTGCCATTACTTGAACACTAGGGTTTTTAAATTCTGTAATAGCTACTGTTTCCCGACAGTTTTATACATTTCTTTGTATAATTGAAGTTGATATATTACATTTTGATTTATTATCCAAATTTACATTTCTTAGAAATACTATGAAAATATCAAGCGAAACAGTTCTAGGCTTCTCTCTAAAGAAATTCCCTTACTGCAATAAAATTCTACCTGAACCTTGAAACCATGCAGAATATAAGATGCCAGACACAAATGGCCAAATATTTTGTGATTTTTTTATTTATATGAAATGTTCAGAAAAGGCAGATCTTTGGAAAGGGAAAGTAGATTACTGAAGTAATGAAAAATTACTGATTGTGCTGATGGTTGCACATTTCCAAATACACAAAAATCATGTAAGCTGTATACTGTTAAGTAGATGAATTGAGTAGTATGAGAATTATATCTGAAACAAAATCCAAAACATTTCACTTGATGGTTACTTTGTTTTTTTTTTTTAATTTTAATTTTTTTAGTACCTGTTTGGAGTACATGGCGTTAACTTTACCTGTGGGTTGTTGACACATGTGCATAGCACATTTTAGTTCCTTTTTTTCTTCCCCTTTTGCACACCTCCCCCATCCACCCACCTCTGGATCCCTTGCTCTGTTTTTGGTACCTGTTAGCAGTACATTCCTGTGTGGAGTTGGTACATGTGTGTACACATCCCAGTTCCTTTTTAAAGTCTGTCTGTCCCCTCTGCTTTCTCCTTCCCATCTCTTGGCTCCCTTCCCCTTTGAGGAAGATATAACTCTATTTCCCTCCTTTTGTTTTTTTTGAGACAGCGTCTTACGGGGTAGTCCAGACTTGTGTTGCACTTGTGGTGATCCTCCTGCTTCATTCTCCCTGACTGCTGGGATTACAGGCGGTGCCGCAATGCCCACCTCTGTCTTTTATTTTGCTTTTTGTTTTACTTTGTGTTTCTTGTGTAAGAGAAACCATGTTATATTTAAGCTTGTGTGTCTGATTTATTTCATTTATTAACATTATGGTCCAAGGTTTCCTTGAGATCCAGTTTCCTGCAAATGACTCAAGTTTAAATGGTTACTTTGTCTTACTGCCTGAACTGATTTCTGGGGGTCTGGGAATTCATTTGATGTGATTTGATCAAGTTTCTTGTTATGTGTTTTTTGGAAGTTTCTTTTCAGTACGGTGTTAAAGTCATGTTTATGCAGTACATTTACAGAGAGGCACACGGTTTGCTTCTTCCTCAAACCATCTTTTATTTTGATAAAAGTCCTTGGGGCTGTACTGTGGCTAAAACATTTCACATGTACGTTTAGCACCTTAGTAAAATATAATTGCATCTTTATTATGCTTCGGTTTCAGGCATCCAGTGGCATCGTTTTTCCACTTGTTCTTTCGCGTCAGTGCGATTATAGTCTACCTTCTGTGTGAACTGCTCAGCGGCAGCTTCATTGCCTGTATGGTGACCATTATCTTACTGTTGTCATGTGATTTTTGGACAGTGAAGGTAGGTTTGTTTTTATTTTAAAAGTGTTTTTAATATGAGTTTTAATGTATAAATAATAAAAGGTAAGAGCAGTTTAGATTGGTTTTATCTTTTTGTTATTTCAGGCCCTATCGGTTACAGTGTGAGATACAGCTCTCACATGTTTGCTGTTACACTGCTGAGTTTTCTGTGCCAAGTAATACTAGCAGCCCTAGACTGTATATTAACTCTCATGGATACTACTAGTTTTGCTTCAGGGTCATTTTCTGTTATGTTGTGTATGATTTTTGTGAAAAGTTCCAATATAATTTGTCCACAATTACCTTTTGCAGGGGCTCTCAAGGGATCTGTAGCGTACTGTTTCCCAACCAGGGGCACCCTCTGCCCTCCTCTCCCCTACCTGCATGGGATATTTGTCAGTGTCTGAAACATTTTTGATTGTCACAAATAGGAGCACAGGAAGGGAAATACGGCATCTAGTGGGTGTGGCCCACTAGATGTGACCAGCTGTGCTGCTAAATATTTAAGATGTACAGGAAGCCCTCCACTACAGTTATCTGACCCAAGATGCCAGTTGTACAAAGGTTAAGAAAAAGCGGAGTTATCTAGCTGAAGATGTCAGTTGTGCCAAGGTTGAGAAACCCTGGTATAGACGATAAAAAGGAATGCAAGAATTGGTCTCAAAGTTAAAGGCAATGATGATGTGTGTGGAGGTGGATGAATGGGTGGGTAGGTAGATACATAGATTAATAAATAATAATATAACTAATAAAATAGTCAAGGTGGACTTTAGGTGGTAGATTTCTTGGTTAGTCATTGTACCATTTAACTATTCTGTGTGTGAAGGGAAAAAATCAAATGAAGTAAACAACAAAACAGGTCTACTGTGACATTTCAATCATATATATTGATTAAAGACCAGTGATTTGTTATAAATTCATATTCATCTTTCCTGCTATTTTTAGATGTTTAAGTTCTTGTAACTTCAGAAGTGGTTGCTTTGGTAGTGGCTGGTTTCCAGAGGCCGTATAAGGGATTTCAAACATCTTTTTTCTTTTGTGTATTTGACTTTGCATTTCTTCTGTTTTATGCTCTAAACAGTATCTGTTGTGACCTGTTCATAGTTTTGTTTTGATGAATTTTATTTTTGATGTTCATACTATTTCTGTTTAACTAAATAGAATATGACCTTCATAATTTCACACTCTTATATAGCTTTAGTATCTCTTATCCAAAATGCTTGAGACCTGAGGTGTTTCATATTTCAGAATTTTTTCAATTTTGGATTTTTATCTGTTGACGACTCCTAATCTGGGAATACATGTATGAAGTGCTCCAAAATCCCAAATCAGCTGAATATTATGTCTGCGGAAAAACAGAGAAAATTCAGATTTCAGATATGAACATCAGAGAAAATGAAATGCTTTTGGAGTTAGAGTAAACAGTGTAACCAAATAGCCTATTTTCTGATTTTTTTTTTAAACAAGAGCTTAAAAAAATGTCATGCTTTTATCCTTGGGAAAATTATTTACAGATACCTAAACAATTGAGATGTGAAGCAACATTCAAAACTTAAGTGTGGAGAATTATTAGATAGGATTGCTCAAACTACCTACATTTTCTGGTCCGAAGAAACAAAGTTAGAAAGCAGTGAAAAATGGTTGTTAAAATTGAGATTTGTAAAGAAAAAGTCAGTTTGCTACATATTTTGGTGTTAAAAGGAAACGGAAGCTGGTGGTGTGGTGCATGTCTGTACTCCCAACTACATGGGAGACTGAGGCAGGACTGTGAGCTTGAGGCCAGTTTAGGCAAGTGAGCAAGTTTCTCTCTCAGATGCAAAGGACTGGAGATGGAGCTCAGAGTTCCCTGAGTTCAACCTTTAATACCAGAAAAATAAAACAAAGACCAAGCCTGTAAGGTAACAGGCTGTTTGCATTTTACAGTGATCATCTAGACTGAAACTTTAAGAATGTATCTAAAACCGCATTTAGAGGAAAACACAGTAGACTAAAAGTTTTTATTACTAAAGAAGAAAGTGAAAATAATAAACCACCAAAGTGCAAAACTTTCAAAATAAAAACCTGAAATTAGGAAAAATAAACCAATAAAGGTAAAAGCAGAAAGAAAGAATTGGGAAATGGTAACATGGAGGGATTTGAAAATATTTTAGAATCTATTTCTTGAAAATGCCAGTAAAGGAGACTTGTGGTTATTCTCAGTCTCGTGTGCCGGCTCTTCTCCCATGTAGCCTTGTAATGTTAGTATCTGTGCCTTGTGAATGTTGCTCTTTTAAGTTTCTTCTTCCTTCTGTATTCCTTCTGTGTGCCATCTGTGCTTCGGGTTGGTTGACTGTAGATTTAGCTCTGTGGCCACATGTGTGCTAACAGCTCTAGACTCCTCATCTGTCTCCTTTTTTTTGGTACTGAGAATTGAGCTCAGGACCTTGCGCTTGTCAGGGAGGGGCTGTGCTGTGCTGCTGGGCTGTATCCTCATCCCCATCTGTTTTCTTGACATTCGACCTGGCATTTGTAAAATATTGTAGTTCTTGCCTTCCACCAGCAAAATGCTTCCCTTCCATAATTATGCCCTTTCCCGGGGGTCTGCAGGCCCTGTGTCCTCACCTGAGTGGACTAGAAGTGTATGATTTGCCTTCCGTCTGCCCAGCCCCGTCAGTCACCAAGTCTTACGAACTTACACATTTTTCTCTGCTCTTCAGAGGTCCTGTGCTGCTGCTGCTGTATCTGGAATGTTTTGCTTCTATATCATTTAATACATTGATTCTTAATTATTGTTTAATGTCACGATCACATTACATCGTAATGGGGCTATGAATAATGTTGAACACATAAAAGAAAATATGTAGCTGGGCGTGGTGGCTCACACCTGTCACTGGGGAGGCTGAGGTAGGAGGATTGTTGTGAGTGCAAGACCAGCCTGGGCTACAGAGTGAGCTCAAGTCCTGCCTGAACTGCATAGAGACCCTGTCTCAAAAAGACAAAAAAAAAAAAGAAAAAACATGTAAGATTACAAATATATCACATTAAAATGCAGTTGGTCATACATGCTCCTGAGTTCTACCTGCATCTGTGTATTCAGCTAACTGGATCAGGAAAACTGCATGCGTACTGAACACATACAGATATTTTTCTTACTGTTGCCCCCTAAACAATACAGTATAAAAAGGATTTACACAGCATTTAGACTGTATGAACTGATTTAAAGTAGACAGAAGTGTGTGCAGGTGTTAAGTGTAGATGTTATGCTGTTTTGTACAGTATGAGGAACTCCAGCAGCTGTAGGTTTTGATGTACATGGTGGGGGAAGGGGTTAAAACCAATCCCCTATACTGAGGGGTGTCTCTTTTATCTTCTGCATAACAGTAGAATGCACGATAAGGTTTTTTAGCTAGGGGTTGAGTTGAGACCTATCACATAATAAATTATGCACCAGCCTACTTGTATAGGCATTAAATGAGGATTTTGATATCTGAATCCACATCAACTTTTAAATAAAAGCACACAAAATTTTTTGCAAAGTTCTAATTTAGTAGTGTGTATTTCTTTGTGATTACACTAGTAGTGCAAGGCAGATTTTAAAATACTATCCAGTGGTACCTCAGTTTACAAACTTGCCTTGTTCTACAATTTTGGGAAAGATAGCCACTTTTGTGTTTGTGGGAAAGATGATCGTGGTCCTGCTGGTTACAGTTGTGTTTGTTACCTGATGCAGAATTTGCATATGAAAACAGAATTTTGCCATTTGCAAACAAAACGATTTGTGAACTGAGGTAGCCCTGTAATTTTTTTTTTTTTTTTTTATCGGTACTGGGGATCGAACTCATGACCGCCTGCTTGCAAGGCAGGTGCTTATGCCACTGGGCCAAATCCCCAGCCCCTAAGTAGCCCTGTACTTTTAAAATAGTAATGAATGTAAAGAAACTATAGTATTAAATGAAAAATACCTAGTTTTTACTGTGACAAAGTTACGAGTTTTTAAAATTTAACTTAAATCATGGTTTGTTGTCTACATTTATAAGTTAAAGGTATGCTAAAATACTTTTATTTATAGAAAAGTATAAAAAATAAAGAAAAAAGTTTCCCTATCCAGGTTTATAGAAACTCTGAATCTGTTAGTAGTAGACATCAATGATTAAACATCCTTTAAGTTCATTCCCAATGCTGATTCATTCTGAGACACAAGGCTAGATCACATGTCCTTGTTATGTTGTTAGTATATTCCGTGCTTTGATGTACAGCGTGTCTCACAGTTGGCAATAGTACATTTGTGCACTGGTCGGTCTCTGTTCCCCACAGTATTTGAAAATGTGAGGACAAAGGAGGCGTCTGTGAGTCACAGTATTTTTTTTTCAACCATCACATTGCAGATGCTTAGTAAATATTTGTTGATTAAATATTAGAAAAATTTTCAAAATAGTCGGTAATGTTAATAAATAAGAAGAGAAATTGGTATACCTCAGGAACCGAGTGAGATGAATAGTGTCCATAACCAATTGTAGGGATGTCAAGTTGTAAAAAATGTATAGCTACAGTCAGGATATATGGAAAAAGGTAGGTCACAGTAGCCAAGGAACAGTTGGGCTAAAGAAAGACACGGGATTGGAGTTTTGATGAGGTGGAGAAGACACTGTAATGTTCATGGATAGACATGTTACTCTGCAGCCCTGTTGGTCATGCCATTACCACGTTACTTAATACACAGTAGTCTTTGTTAACAGCCTCCTAAAGAAATAAGGCTGAAGAGTTTTGTTGTGAAATGTTGTAGTAAGATAAAGCCTTACGGGGTTTTAAATAATGTTCTTCACGCATGTGTGTTTGTTTTTCCCAGAATGTCACGGGTAGACTAATGGTTGGCCTACGCTGGTGGAATCACATTGATGAAGATGGAAAGAGCCACTGGGTGTTTGAGTCCAGGAAGGTAAACTGCATTTTTTTAGGTCGCATCATGGGATGATGCGTGGATTACACGGTAATATTTAAGAGTAAAGCATTTAAGATTCGAAGTACTACCCTAAATCATTTGCCATGTCAGATAGTCTCCTAAAACTTAATACATTTTTTTGTTTACTTCAAACTGGAAACGAAGTGTATATAACACAGAATCCTCAGAGAGGAGGTTGGGTCAGAGTTCATGTAGCATGCTAACCTGTCTCTGCAGGGCTGCTGATAAAAGGTCTCTTTCTGACAGCACCAGATTGATGGCCTTGCTAGGTATGTTATCTCCATGCATCTCTCTTTGTCCAGCAGATGGCTGCCTCCAATTTTATTCTGTCTTTATTCCCATGGTCATCTTCCCCTGGTAGACAGGAAAAAGGATTGCCGCTGTATATTAAGTCTGAGTTGATTCCTCTGTTTTTTAAGCTGTGTCCTTAGAGGCCCGGAGCCTTGTCTCCTTTGGATTAGCCTGCTGTTCTGTAGTGAGCATTCTGTTCCCCTGTGGCAGTGGTGGTGAGCCTGTGGCATGCACGCTGCAGCGGGCTGTTTGTATCACTGAAAGCTCTAAACCGCTCACCGTCATACCCAAAGGGAATCAGTTTGGGAGGCAGAGGGCAAAAGTCTTGAGATGTATTGCCAATTGCATTATTTGTCTTCTGCTTGGAAGCGCAGACCAGTAATACTTCTTATAAAGCAGCACTGTGCTCCGAGTGAGTGCATATTCTGTAATATAAAATTTTGCTGGAGATAGCTCATTTCTCTGGTAAATTCCTGGATTTTGCTGAGACATTTTGGTTATTGTTTAGAATCCTTTGATTCTGTTTTTCCCTTTGGCTCCTGACATGGCCATTTAAGATTCTAAGATGTCTACAGCCTTCATTTCCTTGAGTGAAAAAGGCGTCATTCAAAGCTTCCTTATGAATAAATAGTACAAGTTCATGATGAATTGAGTAGAAGCCTACCAGAGATTATTACATTATTTTGAGTTGTGATAAACTATCCATTCTGCCCCGAAAATGCAATGTTCTTGGGTTGGAGCAAAGTATAAAAAAAAATTTCCTAAAATTTCAGTAGAGGTAGAGCTACTAACTGATTTTATTTCTTACTTGGCACTTGGGTTGTCTGATTGAGTCTTAGAATTTGAGAGAAATGTGCAGTTTGCTAGAATTATTAAAGTTTTTACTGATAAATCTCAAAACACTTATGACTGATTTTATTTTTTATTTCATAGGCAACTTCTCAAGAGAGTAAAAGTTTTTCAGAGGCTGAATCCAGAATATTTTGGTTAGGACTTATTGCCTGTCCGGTGCTCTGGGTGATATTCGCCTTTAGTGCCCTTTTCTCCTTCAGATTGAAGTGGTTGGTGAGTATCAGTGTAGAACTTTTGAGTAAGATGTCTAATGGGTGATCGTAATTAGCTGCCTGTGTCCTTAACATTAAGGACCTACTCTTTAAAAAAAAAAAAAATTAGTCTATATATAGAAAAAGGAGTTTCATTTTGGCATATTGGTCCATGTACATAATGTCACAGCATCACCTTTCCCGCCCACTCACATCCCAAGGAATGGAAATTAGGTTCTATCTCATGATGATAGAGAAACAAGGCACCACCAGAATGTGGAGAGCAGGAAATGTTGCTGCCATCTTTGGGACATACAGTCTGTCTTTGACCCAAAGCGTGTTATTCTTGTAACTGTTGAATTTATCCAGTTAACATTTATTTGTGTCAGATCTTTTTTCTTCCAGGTTTTAGTTTTTCCTGTCTGTGTTTTGCTACATAGATTCTCTTTTTTTCTTCATGCGCATACATTCATACTTTCCTTCTTACACTTTGCAAGTTCCGTATTCTTGTCATCTTTGTTACGTCATGACCATCTTGTTTGAATAAAGAAATTCAGTATTTATGAATTTTTGCTATGAAAGAGATGGGAAAGTTAACAATCAAAGTTTCTCTTAAAGATTTTTGTCTGTTACAGGTTTATTTTAGTTCTTGTAGTGATTATTTTAAAAATGGTAAGCAGTGTATATATACCTGTTTATTGACTCCTAGAATGTTTAGAAAGGGGCAAAGTAAGCACATATTTTTTCCTTTTTTGTTTATTCCATTGTTTTTTTTTTTGTATTATCAAGGTTCAGAACAAAACCTGTTTTTTTTGAGACAGAGTTTTGCTATACAATTCAGGCTGGCTTTGAACTCACTTCATTGCCCAGGCTGGCCTTGAACTCGCAGTGATCCTTCTGCTGCAACCTCCCAAGTGCTGCTTTACAGGTGTGCACCACCACGCCAGGCTCAGAACCACTACTATTTGCATTTACATTTCTTGCTGGTTCTTCAGTCTTTGATCTAATTTTAAAACTATTTACCAGTCCAATTATTTTAAATACAGGATGACCAAAAGTTACATATATTTTGGTTAGGTTTTATAAGATAATATAATAGGAAATATAAAAATGACAGCTTAATCAATTTTATTTAATATAAGAATCAGCTGGTTGGGATCAGGGATATAGTCAGCAGCACAGCTGGCTGGCAAGCACGAGGTTGTGAGTTCATTCCCTGGTTCCAGGAAAGAAAAAAAGAACCTGGTTGAAATGATACCTGCCTAAGCAGTGCGCATAGTAAGTGTGTAAACAAATGCACTGCCTGGGTGACACTGGCGGTAAACTGTTAAGTGGTTAAATATGTTGATTTAGTGCCTTTTTACCACAAAATAGAATTTCATAACGATAGGAATAATAATAGTTGATACACTATCATTATCTTAAAATTACTCAGTACAAAACATAGAAAAGATTCTTACAAAGAAGAAATGAATAGTTAATAGCACAAAACTCTTCAATGAACTACAGAAACTAGAAATATAAATAAAATGAATTAATATTTTTGAAATAATGGGATAGGTAATTAGGGAATTATTTGAACCCTTGTCTACTTTCTATTTATCTTCTCATTTGCTCTTTATTATGACTTTTCCTTTTATTGGGTGGTTGGCTGTATTCCATTGTTGGGTGATACTTTTAGAATGTTGAGGTTTATGTTCCTTTGACTTGCATATTTAAGAATTTGAGCCTATTGAATTATTCTTGAAGATGGTTGCACTGGGTTATTCCATCATTTTCTTGTATTAAATGTTGGAGAAATCAGAGGCCAGGCTTTCTGGGAATTGTTTCTCTCTGATGACTTCTTTTTAAAATGTTATCTGTCTGTATTTATCTTTTAATTTTAATTTGATTTGGTGCTGGCAATTGTTTCTCTCTGATGACTTCTTTTTAAAATGTTATCTGTCTGTATTTATCTTTTAATTTTAATTTGATTTGATTTGCCAAGCAGCACGTGCTGCCTGGCTGTATCCCTGGCCCTGTATATATCTTTTTATATTGAGTTTGCTGGAATCAGCCTCTTCCGATATGCAGACTCAGGTTTGCGTTGAGTAGGAAAAGTGGCTTCTGTTACATCTTTAAATTTGTTTCTGTTTTATAGCTTCATTTGTCTAATTTTGAGATACCAGTTGTTTCTGTGTTGGATCATTTATATCTGCCCTCACCCACTGTTTTCCAGTTCTAGTTGCTTTAATCTTCTTTTTTTTCCTGTTCATTCATGCATGCATTCATTCATTCATTCAGATTTTTGTTGCTTGTTTTTTGTTCTTTTCAGTGCTGGGGATTGGACCCAGGGAGCACTTTGCTTATTCCCGGTGCTTTTTATTTTTTTGTTTGAGACAGGGGCTCACTGAGTAGCCCAGGCTGGCCTCAAATCTGTGATCTTCCTGTCTCCTCAGTAGCTAAGAGTACAGGCCGCACCTGTCATCTTACTGCACATTCAGCAAAGAAATTTTTTTGGTACTGGGATTTGAACTCATCACCTACACTGAACTGCCTGACCAGCCCAGAGTGCAGGAATTACAGGTGTGTGCCCTCACATCCTGCTCACTCAACAAAATTTTTAAAGCTGGGAGGTTAGGAATACAGAAGAGTCAGATGTGGTGGTGCATGCCTATGACCCCAGCACTTGGGAGGCTAAGGTAGAAAAATGACTGAGTTCCAGGTGGACCTGGCCTCGGTAGTGAGTTGGAGACCAGCCTGGAATGCATAGAGTCTAAAAAAAAAAGAAGGAAGGAAGAAAGAAAAAAAGTAATGAAATAAAAATATCTCCCAGTTAGTAGTAGGGTCCTGAATGGGTAACTGTGTGTCCCCTCCATCCAGAGCTTTTCTTGGATTAGCAAACACAGACAATGCTTAGTTGTTTGGTGGCCACTTATCACAGGTGGCTCTGTGTTTAAAGTGACCTTTTGAAATTCAGACTCTAACCAGGCTACTCAGCCTGCAGGGTTTAAATGAAACTGGACTTTTAAAGAAAAATTTATTATTTTGAAATGTAAGTTCCTGGAAGCAGGAATTCAGTAGGGAGTGGCTGCTTTCCCTGTTGCATGAGGAAGTTCATCCTTGGTCCAAAGTCTAGTTCACTTCCTGTTCTTGCCTTCATTCTTAGCAGTGTGGCTGATCATCCAACTCTGTCTCTGGCCTTTTCACCAGCCAGCTGCCTATTCATAAGCTAACTAAATTTAATATTTTCCCTTCTGAAGAAGAATCCTTAACTGTTCTTTGGAGAGAAGGGACAAGACCAAATTTGGCAATTTCTGCTGAAGGGTGTCAGCATAGAGGCTAATTTAAGGGCCTTCTATTGAAGTCGTGATGGGGTTCAGCACTTACGCACCCTCTTGACAGGGTTGCTCTGGCGCCTTCATCGTTGGCTCCATCCGTCTACTTGTCCATTTGGAGTTTGGCAACCTATTAGCAGGAAAAAAAATTTTATCGAGAGATTAAGAATGCATGGCTCAAACGTAAGAAGTGGAATGGTAGAATGAAGGGCAAATCAGGGTATAGATGTAAGGTGCCGAGTGCAGCCACGTTCCGAGGGGACTGAAGGGGCACTTGTAACCAGTTGGGGCCTAGGCCTTCCTGCTCATGGCCATCGTCAGTAAATGGACATTTCTTTACATGGTTTTTAGGTCCTCTACCTGATGTAAATTATTTATCCAGAGGAAAGAAGTCTCATTTATGAATGTACGAGTTCAGCCAAGAAATTTAAGATTCCTGGAGTGCTTTTACAGTTGCCACTGTGGCTTTCCAGGCTTGTTGAACCATAATAATGAGATTTAGGACTGATCTTTCTAATAGGGGATTGGCTACCAACCAAAAGAGCCCCCCTGGCGGTTGTACCCCCATATGTGGCCTCCTAGTCATATGTGTGTCCACCTGAATCATGTTTTCCAGTCCTTCCTAAGAAGGCAAATTGGATGTAATGCCATTATAGGAAGGCCAGGTTTAGTTAGTGTGAGAATCTGGCCTGAAGAGCCCCTCTCTGGACTTAGTATCTTAATCTTTGGAATAGCTACTACCATAGTACAGACCTGTTTCACTTAGAGGGCAGCACTAGATGTCAGTTTGTCCTACTTAAAAAAATAAACTCTGCTGCCCTCAAGGGAAGGGGCCTCAAGTGTTCCTGGGGCTAGAACAGTCCACTTGTTGGTTTTTTTTTGAGGCTCTCTATATTAGAACAATCATAGGAAGTATGCTACTTTGACAGACCCAGTTGATCTCTGTATAAGTATTCTCATGAGACAGATCCATTAAAATTGTAATGTTTGCGCACAGATTTGGTTAGGGTTATGAAAACAAACCAAGCCTCAGCACCAGAGCTTTGAAAGGGTGTTTCCTGGAAGAGAGGCATAGAGGGACTAGCTGCAGATACCCTGAGTTATGATAGTCCTGGCATGTTGACATGGGAGAGAAAAATTAAAGGAGCCCGTAAGTGGATGGTAGGTATCTGTGAAATTGATTAATCTGTGGCAGCTGTGGGTGGTGGTGAAGTCCTGACACTCTTTCCAGTGGACTTTTAAGTGCCAGGGTTGTGATACATCTGGGGCTGATGTTGAATCCCCCCAGACAGCTAGCTCTTCCATAATGGCTTTATTTATTTATTTTTATCCACCTGCTGTTGTGAGACTGTTAAGAATTTAGGAGATAACCATCCTACCCAAGAGGATCCTTTATGCGACTGAGGGCATTTCCCCATAGTTTATCCACTTGTCCTACCCAGATTTTGGCTTTATCTCTCAGGGGAGTCCTATGTGGGTTTGTTACCATAGTGTTTAGGGATACAGTTGTTGCTGGGACCTGTTGATAGCAGTGTTCAAGGGACAAAAGCAAAACTACAGTGGGGTTGTGGGTTAGGTTCTCCCTTGTGAGCGCATCAAACAATCAGAATACTTTCCTTTAGCAAGTATTTTATGAGTTCACTATATAGTTGGGCATGGTGGGGCATGCTTATAATCCCAGTACTCTGGGAGGCTGATGCAGGAGGATCACAAGTTTGAGTCCAGACTGGTAAACTCAGCAACTTAGTGAGACTCTGTCATAAAACTAAAAAAATGTAAAAAGGTTCAGGAGGGAGCTCAATGGGAAGGTGATGCACTCAATATCCTCTCCCCAACCACTCTGCCCACCCCTACAAGAGTTCACTGCAGGTCGGAGCTGTTTTGGTGGCTGGAGCTAGTTAGTGGCCAGGTGATCAGCATGACTGCTCTGATGGTGAGGCCTAGGGGAGAGTTGCCAGCCAATAAAACCTGCAGGGAATGTTAGGTAATGGTATTATAGCAGGGAATCAGTAGAGCACACCGGGACAACTGCAGCTCGCTCAGTAGGCATCGGCAGCGACTTCTGGACTTCATTAGCTCTGCTGTCTTCATTTTTCATCTCCTGTTGCCTTAGTTTACTTTCATGCTCTTCAGATTTTTATCTCCAGAATCTTCTATAGGGTGAGCTATTTCTCAGAATGCTTTTATTTCAGTAGCTTGTACTTCAAGAAGAGATTCGTCATCTATTTTTTGTATAGTGTCCTTTCATATTGCCTTTTTCTCCCTGTAGTTTTGAAGAGGTACCTTTCGCTTTTTCCTGTCCATTCAGCTCTGTCTACACCTTCTCTTCCTGCAGCCGTATTGCGTGAATTCTCCTCTCCTCGAACACCTCCCCACATTGCCTGAGGTAGCCTGACGATGCCGGTGGAAGGAGACCTTAGCTGGACCCTGGCTGCCTTGGCTGGCTTGCTTGGATTGTGCCTTCTGATATGGAGTGGGATTCTTAACTCCTTGTTGACTGTGAGCCCTATTCTGGTTCTACACTCTTGGTTTAGGTCCTTTGGAGACTCGAGCTTTAGCATCCATCCAGTAACAGCTCAGACTTTTTCTAATAGTGCTTCCTCTTCCCCAAAACAGAACAGGTCAGAACGTGACCCAACCCAGCCCAACCCAACCCATCCCATCCCACCCCATCCCACCCCAGCCCAACAGCGAAAGGTGATTTGGCCCTCTGGTAAGACTATAGGACACAGTTGCAGACCTCACCCAGGCTCTCTGAACGTTTCCTGTCTTTGGGTCTCTTACGATCCCTGTCTCTCGTGACTCTGAGTCTTCTGTCCTGCTTCCGCTGCTGCTTCCTACCGTGGCCAACTGCAGGGATTTTCCTCCCTGGCTGGGGGATTCTGTGTTCATGGCTTTCTGCATTTTTGCTTAAGGTTGTATCTGTCCTCTGGTCTTCTGTTTCTGAGTTGTTGGGGGGTCATAATTATTAGTGTAATTCTGTGAATCTGTAACAGACTGACTCTTCTGCGGACCACCAGCCCTTTTGTGTATTTATGGGGACTGGCTGATGGGCCTTTTAAAAAATACTTGTTTTATGTCTATTTTAAGAGGAAACAAATCTTCAAATTTGACTTTCCCATGTTAAGTCAGAAGTCTGCTTGTTATAACTTATAGATACGTTTTACCATTTGTTCCCACTGAATAAAATGGGTACCTCAGCATGACCCCCATTCACTCTGTGAATTCACCTGCCCTGGCATTGTGGTACAAAAATACCCAGGAGCACCCTGAAGTTAGAGATTTACTTAAACAAAAATATAGTTTTATCCTTTATTTCTATAACTAGCAACCTTAAAAATCTAAATTTAAAACATAAAGTACCAGGTCTACTTTTTTTTTTTTTTTTTGAGACAGAATCTCACTATGCAGTGCAGGCTGGCTTTGGGCTTTGGCCCCACTCTGTAGCCCAGGCTGGTCTTGAATTTGCAATGATCCTCCTGCCTCAGCCTCCTGAGTGCTGGGATTACAGGAGTGTGCCCCCACGCCTGGCTTCTTGGTCTGCTTCTTTTACCTGACATTTGAACCAGTTCATTATTTAAACATTGATCTCCTCTGATTTACTTTGAAACCTTTGTCCAGCCTGTTAAGAGTTAAAGAGAAATGGAGAAAGACATTCTAGTAACCGCATTGCTTTTCACAGATGTAATTATTTCCTGAATATTTTTAATGTAAGTGTTTAAATCTTGTTTATGTAGAATTGTAGACTAAATACTTTAGACCATATCTAGCCCAATGTCTGTTTTTGTAATTTTTTATTGGAACATGGCTGTGCCCGTTTGTTTACTGTTTTCTGTGGCGGCTTTGGGTTAGAATGGAAGCATTAAGTAGTGAAAACAGACCATAGGGCTCATAAAGCCAAAAATACTTATTGTCTGATCATTTTATAGAAAAGCTGTAGAGCAACTTAACTTTGTCACTGTTTCACGTTGCCCTAAGGGTCCTCCCGTAGTAACTGAGGAATGGCCTTGAGTTTTTGTTCCTAATTCCCAGTTGATCTTAAAGTGTCGTCTGGAGATTTCCTGACATGACAGTAAGAAGTAAGCCGCTCTGCAGCGGTATCTATCTTCCTTGCTCATCTTGCTCCGCACAGGAGGCGCACCCTGTTGGTTGCTGCCATAGGGCAGAGTCACCTTGCTTTCTTAGGAGCCAGCTGTTACATGTGCATCAGCTTGGGGCACATTCACCTCTGTCTGCTGTCAGTTGATTGTACTTGACTACCAGTCTTTTATAATTGGTAGAGGAATAATCAGCAGTTGAATCTTTCCTGGACCTCCCTTTGCCTTACATTTACTCATAAACGCCTGGAAAGCACAGCGAAGGCTTCCCTTCCCAGGGCCCCCGCTTCCCTTCCCAGGGCCCCCGCTTCCTTCCCAGGGCCCCCGCTTCCCTTCCCGGGGCCCCCGCTTCCTTCCCGGAGCCCCCGCTTCCCTTCCCGGGGCCCCCGCTTCCCTTCCCAGGGCTCCCGCTTCCCTTCCCAGGGCCCCCGCTTCCCTTCCCGGGGCTCCCGCTTCCCTTCCCGGAGCTCCCGCTTCCTTCCCGGAGCCCCCGCTTCCCTTCCCAGGGCCCCCGCTTCCCTTCCCGGGGCTCCCGCTTCCTTCCCGGGGCTCCCGCTTCCCTTCCCGGGGCTCCCGCTTCCCTTCCCAGGGCCCCCGCTTCCTTCCCGGGGCTCCCGCTTCCCTTCCCAGGGCTCCCGCTTCCTTCCCAGGGCCCCCGCTTCCTTCCCGGAGCCCCCGCTTCCCTTCCCGGAGCTCCCGCTTCCTTCCCGGAGCCCCCGCTTCCCTTCCCAGGGCCCCCGCTTCCCTTCCCGGGGCTCCCGCTTCCTTCCCGGGGCTCCCGCTTCCCTTCCCGGGGCTCCCGCTTCCCTTCCCAGGGCTCCCGCTTCCCTTCCCGGGGCCCCCGCTTCCCTTCCCGGGGCTCCCGCTTCCTTCCCGGGGCTCCCGCTTCCCTTCCCGGGGCTCCCGCTTCCCTTCCCGGGGCTCCCGCTTCCTTCCCGGGGCTCCCGCTTCCTTCCCGGGGCTCCCGCTTCCCTTCCCAGGGCCCCCGCTTCCCTTCCCAGGGCTCCCGCTTCCCTTCCCAGGGCTCCCGCTTCCCTTCCCGGAGCCCCCGCTTCCCTTCCCGGAGCCCCCGCTTCCCTTCCCGGGGCCCCCGCTTCCCTTCCCAGGGCTCCCGCTTCCCTTCCCAGGGCTCCCGCTTCCTTCCCGGGGCCCCCGCTTCCCTTCCCGGGGCTCCCGCTTCCCTTCCCGGGGCTCCCGCTTCCCTTCCCAGGGCTCCCGCTTCCCTTCCCAGGGCTCCCGCTTCCCTTCCCAGGGCTCCCGCTTCCCTTCCCAGGGCCCCCGCTTCCTTCCCGGAGCCCCCGCTTCCCTTCCCGGGGCCCCCGCTTCCCTTCCCGGGGCTCCCGCTTCCTTCCCGGGGCCCCCGCTTCCCTTCCCAGGGCCCCCGCTTCCCTTCCCGGGGCTCCCGCTTCCTTCCCAGGGCCCCCGCTTCCCTTCCCGGGGCCCCCGCTTCCCTTCCCGGGGCTCCCGCTTCCTTCCCGGGGCCCCCGCTTCCCTTCCCGGGGCTCCCGCTTCCTTCCCGGGGCCCCCGCTTCCCTTCCCAGGGCCCCCGCTTCCCTTCCCGGGGCTCCCGCTTCCTTCCCAGGGCCCCGCTTCCCTTCCCAGGGCCCCCGCTTCCCTTCTCAGGGCCCCCGCTTCCTTCCCGGAGCCCCCGCTTCCCTTCCCGGGGCTCCCGCTTCCTTCCCGGAGCCCCCGCTTCCCTTCCCAGGGCCCCCGCTTCCCTTCCCAGGGCCCCCGCTTTCCTTCCCAGGGCCCCCGCTTCCTTCCCAGGGCCCCCGCTTCCTTCCCAGGGCCCCCGCTTCCTTCCCGGGGTCCCCGCTTCCCTTCCCGGGGCTCCCGCTTCCTTCCCGGGGCTCCCGCTTCCCTTCCCGGGGCTCCCGCTTCCCTTCCCGGGGCTCCCGCTTCCTTCCCGGGGCTCCCGCTTCCTTCCCGGGGCTCCCACTTCCTTCCAACTCCTTCCCGGGGCTCCCGCTTCCCTTCCCGGGGCTCCCGCTTCCTTCCCGGGGCTCCCGCTTCCTTCCCGGGGCTCCCGCTTCCCTTCCCGGGGCTCCCGCTTCCTTCCCGGGGCTCCCGCTTCCCTTCCCAGGGCCCCCGCTTCCTTCCCAGGGCTCCCGCTTCCCTTCCCGGGGCTCCCGCTTCCCTTCCCGGGGCTCCCGCTTCCTTCCCGGGGCTCCCGCTTCCCTTCCCGGGGCTCCCGCTTCCTTCCCGGGGCTCCCGCTTCCCTTCCCAGGGCCCCCGCTTCCTTCCCAGGGCTCCCGCTTCCTTCCAACTCCTTCCCGGGGCTCCCGCTTCCTTCCCAGGGCTCCCGCTTCCTTCCAACTCCTTCCCGGGGCTCCCGCTTCCCTTCCCGGGGCTCCCGCTTCCTTCCCGGGGCTCCCGCTTCCTTCCCGGGGCTCCCGCTTCCCTTCCCGGGGCTCCCGCTTCCCTTCCCAGGGCCCCCGCTTCCTTCCCAGGGCTCCCGCTTCCCTTCCCGGGGCTCCCGCTTCCCTTCCCGGGGCTCCCGCTTCCTTCCCGGGGCTCCCGCTTCCCTTCCCGGGGCTCCCGCTTCCTTCCCGGGGCTCCCGCTTCCCTTCCCAGGGCCCCCGCTTCCTTCCCAGGGCTCCCGCTTCCTTCCCAGGGCTCCCGCTTCCCTTCCCAGGGCTCCCGCTTCCTTCCCGGGGCTCCCGCTTCCCTTCCCGGGGCTCCCGCTTCCCTTCCCGGGCTCCCGCTTCCTTCCCGGGGCTCCCGCTTCCCTTCCCGGGGCTCCCGCTTCCTTCCCGGGGCTCCCGCTTCCTTCCCGGGGCTCCCGCTTCCCTTCCCGGGGCTCCCGCTTCCTTCCCAGGGCCCCGCTTCCTTCCTAGGGCTCCCACTTCCCTTCCCAGGGCCCCCGCTTCCTTCCCAGGGCTCCTGCTTCCCTCCTCAGGGCTGCAGGCTGCCTGAAGTACATGACAGCTGTGTCAGTGGGTAGTTGAGTGGATGACTCTGTTCCCAGAACAGAGCGCACATCAGATAGGTCTCTTCTGGCAAGTTAAGGAGTCTCTTTGGTGTAACTGCTGCTCTGCGGAGGCTCGTTTCTCCTTCTCTCTCTCACCAGGTTCCGCCTGTTTTGTTTTTTTCCTGGTCCCAGGCGGTGGTTATCATGGGTGTGGTGCTGCAAGGTGCCAACCTGTACGGTTACGTCAAATGTAAGGTGGGCAGCAGGAAGAATTTAACCAGCATGGCTACCTCGTATCTCGGGAAGCAGTTTTTAAGACAAGTAAGTGTCTTCTGTATGTTATTGGTGACTAATGCAGTGATTTCTCTTTTGCAGTTTTAATTTTTCTGAAATGCTTAACAGAATTTTTAAAGGTGTGTCATTAAGTATGGGATTATGATAAAGATACTTTAATTGCTCTTGTAGGCTTTTAGGATATTCCAGAAATATATTATTAGCACATTAAAGTTATTTTAAAATCAAGAGAGATGAACTACATTGATAATAAACATTTTTTTAAAATGGCCACAAGTTCAGTTACTTGCCATTAATTATAGTAGCTTTAAATGGATGTCCTTGAAGAACGCATATTGTGAGGTTTTAAGGGTTATAGGAAGAACCAGGAGCAGACTGAATAAAAACATTGCTGAGAATTGTTTTATGTACTCTGGTGGTTTTTCCTCCTCTAGAACATCCAGGTTTAAACAGTTCCTCAATATGAGAGTATCGATTGGGGTTTTCAGTGGGCTGAGTGAGTGGTCATAGGGAAGTGGTTATTTATTAAAATCTATTGGGTCAGTAGGTTAGATCTTTTTTTTGGAGATAGGTACAGGATTTGAACTCAGGACTTGGAGCTTGTCAGGCAGGCCCTGTGCCACTGAGCTGCATCCCCAGCCCTAGACTAGGGTTAGGGTGTTATGTGAGTAATACTTCATATTTGTTCAGTGCAGAGAGTTATATAAGATGGTGGTTCTCATATTTCAACGTATATCAGAATCAGCTATTTTGAGGGCACAAAATAGCTGGGCTTTATGTGTGAGGTTTTCTGTTCAGTAGATCCTGGGGTTGGAGGCTTATAATTAGTATTTCGAACAGGTTTTTGGTCCAAAGATAACACTTCAGGTAACTAAAACCCAGAAACAGTAAGTTGTTTACTCAGGAACATAAAGGTGGTAGATGGCAGACAGCTAAGGCTTGAACCCAACCCTGTGTACTACCAATTCATCATTCTTTCTGTTCTACAATTTTTTAAAAAATTAATAGAGGATTAGAGGTAGAAAAGACAAATATTTCTGTAGGTTTGTAATTCTTAGCCTGAAGGGTTTTTGCACAGACCCAATAATGTTTTGCTGTGTAATTTTTTTGTAAGGTAATTTTTTTGTCTGTGTGTGTACTTAGGATTCCAGTGTGTCTGGAGGTAGGACAGACATTGAATATAGTTGGAATTGGACCTTGAACCTGGCATATCACGGATAGGGTCAGTGTCATCTGTGGTACCTGGTGATGCTCTGTCCACTGGGTAAAGCTGGGATCTGAGTGGATGATGGTATCCAGAGCTGTTTCTCCAGGATGGCTACTTACTAACATGAATGCTAGTAATACAGAATCAGATTATGCTTACAGATGCAGAATGTGTTCCTAGGTCTAGTTTTGAAGTCTGTGTTATATGAAATGAAATAATTTTGAATATTAAGGAGTGTTTTTCTCATTTACAGAACACTGGAGATGACCAGACTTCCTGAGTAGAGAGAAAGCTTATGTGTTCTGTTACCTTGGGGAATAATTGAAGAGATTCTTGACTCTGAATTACTTAGAGGTCCATTCATTTTGAAAAGAGGCGTATTGGGTTTGTTTTTCTGCTTAAAAACTTCTATTTAAAAAATAGGGAACAGGTTTCATATTGTTTTCATTTTCTTTCTATTTTCTGGGGCTAGAAAGTATAGTATCATCAGAAACACTGTCAGAATTTGTTTTATAGTATACATGTACATACTATATGCTATGTAATAGCACTTTATTCCAAATTAATGTGTTCATTTACATAAATAACAGATCTTTACATTTTGATCTTAGAGCATAGGAAGGTGTTCTTAGTTCTATGTGTTTGCACATTATTTCTGTAGATTATTTTCAGAAGTAAGTTTTGATTCTATGTGAAAGTGAGCACTTTGGCATATGTATGAGTTTTAAAAGTTAGAAATAATTGTTCATTTTTATTATGTACTCCATGGTGAAATTTCTTATCTTAGAAATACATGCTGACATGTAAAAACCGAATTCAGACCAGTAGTGTTAACTAATTTCTAAAATTGTGTTTTTATTTTTATTTTGAGGCCAATAATGTCTAAATAGAATCTTCATAGTTTATGTTTAGAGTGCACCCAGGGATTGCTGCTGTTTTGTTTATTTTAGGGGAAGGATAGTGAAGTTCACTTTGGAAGTTTCTGAAACCCCTTCAGTGGTCTTTGGACTAATAAATTTTTTACCACTGAAGGAATATTATTCTTATGATAATGAGAATAATCTTTTGATCTTGGCATAATAAATGCCTAAAAGACATTTTGTTTTATGAATCTATTTTTTTCTGCTATAATGGGGATATTGTAAATCATACATTTATATTGATGGCATTTCTTAAAGCTATATATGTAACTAAACTTATCTACAAATTATTGTAGGCATCTATACATTCTGTTGTAGGTACTGTAAACTTTGTTGGAGTCTTAATCACCAGATTATGTTGTGAATATATTTGTACATTGTTAAAATATTGTAAAGATGTTTTGTTAAATTGAGTAAGTGTCTATTGGAGTAGGGACTTGAAAAATGCATTACTTTATATTTGTATAAAGCTTTATTGTTTACAAAGCATTCGCGGTGTGTTATCTCATTTAGTCCTCACAGAAACTATCTGATGATGTCTTAGATGGTGAAACCATCCTTCCAGCTATTGAACAACTTGTTCAGGGAGATACAGGTCACAGCATATCTGTAGAATATTAGTAGGTCATATAACTATTTTTAAAGGAAATATTTGTCTCTAATACCTGTTCTTTCTTTTAGACTCATTAATTTGTTAAGTATTTATTATATTCAGCTGTTACTCTGGGCAAAAAGTTGGTAATGCACCAGAGGCATGTTTTCAGTCAGTTTGGAAGATGTAACCTGACCCGTTTAGGGCTGGCAATCTAACAGGGATGGATTGGTATAGTTATTGAGTTAACTATATTATTTGAATCTACAGTCCTAAAACAAATATGACATGAATTTTGGACTTTGCATCTGGCAGGGACTGCTGCCTAAGAAGGAGAATGAAGGCCATCCTGTCCTCCCCCTGCTTTTCCTTCCTGCTGGCTGAACATAGACACAGCCGCTGGAACTCAGCCTTGGGGAGGGCTTGTCTTTGTGAGTGGTAGGGAGGGGAGGTGGAGACTGTCTGAATCCCCTTGGCGGGTGTAACAGCCCTGAATTACCCATCTGAACTTGTACATGAGAGAGAAGCAAATGTCCATCCTGTTGGTTACTGCTTACGCTTTGGTTGTTTATAGTTTAACTGAATTGTTACCAATATACTATACTTTGAGCATCACTCATAATTCTTCCCTTTAGTGTAGCATTTGAGATGTAATAATATAGTAAGGAAGCACTTACTATTTGACCTTTTTTTTTTGGCTACCATAATGCCTCTTGTTACCTTCAAGAGATTTGCCCATACCATCAGGCATCATAAAATCAAACAAAATAGTACAGAATAAAAACCAATAAGAACAAAACAATGGAAACAGTATAGAACTTCAAAAGAGGATAATAGTAAAACCACAGCGAGTATCATAATGCATCTTACTATCTTCAAAGTAGTTGCCTGTACCATCAGACATGATATAGTCAAACAAAACAATACAAAAAAATCAGTCAAAACAAAACAATGAAAGCAATACAGGGCTTCAAATCAAGCTAATAGGAAATCAAAAATGATTACCATAATATATTTTGTTATCTTTGAAATAGCTGTCCATGCCATCAAATATAATACGGTTAGACAAACTGAAACAGAATAAAATCAAACTAAACAAAACAATATGGGTTTCAAATCATGATAATGGATTAACAATGGCCACTGCATTCCCTTTTTAGACAATTCCTCCCTTTCACTTTCACAAGATGTATTGTACATTTTGGATCCCACTAACTCCTTTAGTGTTTATACTAGGGAGGCAGTACGCTATTCACCTATGTGACTGGACCTTTTTACTTGTGAGCATGATCTCAAGTTGTATCCATTTACCTACAAGAGCCTCAAGGTTGTCTTTCTTTATAGCTGAGTAGTTTTCCGCTGTATAAAAGTGTCATGGCTTTCTAACCAGTCTGCAGCTGATGTGCAAGCTACCCCACGTTTTTCTGGTTCCTTATCACATAAAGCATTGTTTTCTCACCTTTTGACTTTCAGTCTACAAACCCCCTTTCGGGTTAAGTGTGTTTCTGTATAAAGCAGATTGATGAATGCTCTCTCCTGATCCACTCTGCCTGTGTTTTTTTATTGGTGAACCTTCTCTGCCTCATCTCTGCCATGCTATTTTCCTGCCATTGATTGCCTACTTTTCCCCTTTATTCTGTTGTCTGCCCTGCTCATTGAGCCCGCTCCGCCACTGTTCCTGAAACCATGGTCTTTTTTTCTCTGGAATGTCCTTCAGTATTTTTTGTAGGGTTGGTTTGGTGGTCATGAATTCCTTCAGTTGTTCTTTGTCATGGAAGTATCTTGTTTCTCCATTAATTTTGAGAGATAGTTTTTTTTATATTATCTCTTTGCCTATAAAAAATTTTATTTATACTATCGCATATAGTAAAATATAGTAAGATACAACATGTTAAAACCAGTGGAAACAGATGTACAGCAGCTTGATGGGACTTCAAAACAAGATGATATTAAATCAGCACTAGTTTTTATGATATGTTGTTTTCTTCAGAATAGCTATTTGTACTATCACAGATACTAAAATCGAATAACCTAGGTTAAAACCATTGCAATTAATGAGTGAAAACATTATATGGCTTCAAACCAATATGATTGGGAATCATGATTACTACATACTTTTATGTATTCTTATCATTTCTTACACTAGGGAAACTATTTGGTATTTATACATGTGCGTTTGATTTATTTTGAAAGATAGTTTTACAGGATACATCAACCTGAGTTGGAAGTTATTTTCTTTCAGGACTTGAAATATTTTACTCCAAGCTCTTCTTGATTTGATGGTTTGTGTCAAGAAGTCTGTCATGATTCTGATGAATTTTCCTTTATAGGTGATCTGTTTCTTTTGTCTGACAGCTTTTAATATTCTGTTCTTGTATTGAATTCCTGGGATCTTATTATATGCCTGGGTATAGATTTATTTTGGTTATGGCTGGCTAGAGTTCTGTATGCCTCACTTATCTGAATTATCATTTCCTTTTCCTATGCTTGGGAAGTTTTTTATAATTATTTCTGTAGCCTTTGTATTTCATTTGTGTTTACCCGTGCTGCTTCACTCATATTTTTAATTCTGAAGTTATAATTCTTGTCACATTGTAGCCTTTGTATTGTTACTTCCTGGCTCCTTATTTTAAAGAGATCTTTCCTTTCATGATCTCAAGCTGCAAATCTGTTTTCAAGATTTGAAAGTCTGTCTTTAGTTTCTTTCAAGCAATTTTGCCAGCTTTCAATGGAGTTTTTAATTTCCTGGTAATCTCTTTGAATCTGTTTCATATATTTTAAGTTTTTTTTATATTCTTCATTCAAGGTTTCCTTCATCTTCCTATGCTCCTCTATCTGTGTCTTTAGAGGTGCTTAACAATTCTTTTATTATGTTTCTTATTTCTTTAGATAGTTTCAGTTCTAATTTCTTTCATAGCCTCATGAAGTTGTTTCTTTACTTCAGTTGCCATCACTTCATAAACTTCAGGTGTGTGACTCCTGATCTCTTCCATGTTTACATCTCCTGAGTCCAAACTGGGTTGGAGGCCAGAGGCTCCTTTTCTTCTTCCTCTTGTCATGTTCCTGGTTTCTCCTGGACAAGTGAGTCTTGGGGTCCCTGGCAATCTTGTGTTGGCTGTAATTTCTCTGAAGTGAGACTGATTTTCCTAACCAGTGCTGGCTAGGGATATCCGATGGTGACCATTGGGTGTGCTGGTGTAGGGCTGGTTGCTGCTTTTCCCAGCCTGCTTTGGCCCACAGGTGGCTGGTGGAGTGCAAGCAGGGGTGGGGTAGGCTGCTGCCTCCCTTCTGAGCTGGTTAACAGCAGGGAGCCCCCACCACATAGAGTACACCCAGGGAGCTGGCTAGGGATAGATTTAGGGAAACCTCAGTGATGGCTGTTGGAATGCACACAGGGGTGGGACTCAGTCCAGGCAATTTCCACCAGTCTGCTCCACGCTAGGAGTGGCTGAAGGAAGGCAGCTGCAGTTCTGGTTCCAGGCTTATCCTGCCCAACTCCAAAATGGCTCCCAGCCAATCGCCTTCTCCTGCAAGCGGACTGAGTCCTCTGCACTCACCACCAGCCAGTGCAGTCCTCCATGTCTGCTACTCCCCTCTGCCACTATGGCTCTTTGCAGAGGCCTTTGGGCTTGCCAGCCACCACCATCACCGTGACTGTGTGTCCCCAGGTTTCATGGTCTCCATGGTGGATCCAGCTCTGGGTGAAGGTGCTGCCAGTTACTGCCTTCTTTGTTTAAGTTTTTCCTTTTTTACTCTCTCTGTGGGCTTCAATTCTCACTTTAGGTTCTTCCTGAGTTGAGGGGACTCACTTCTTTCTTGTCTTCCCCACAATGCTGTATTCAGCATTTGGACTGTTTCAGAGAGGTTGTTTGCTCTGTTGCTTAATGTTCGGCCATCTTCCCGGAAGTCTGATCTTTTTTCTGTGTACTAATTATGTGAGGATTATAGGTGCTAATAAGTTCTACTGTTCCAGCTGCTATTACTACATGACAATTCACCCTCAAAGTTACCAATACGAAATAGTTATTTTGTTAAATGCTCAGAAACTCTATGAGACATAAATTTGAGTTGCGCACAAAAAAGGATAGCTTCTTTCTGCCCAACCTTCTCTGGGACTCAGGAAGATTTGAAGGCTGGGTTTGACATGATGGCTAGCACAGGGTACACTTGGGATGTCTTCAGCATCAGGCCTGGAGCTTGGCACAGCCTGTCCTCCAGGAGCTCAGTTGGGCTGCTGGTCAGGATACCTGCAGTGTATGCTCAGTGTGGAGTTTCTCCATGTGACTCACATGGGCTTCTTCATAATCTGGTGTTGGGTTCTCATAGTGGACCTCCCAAAGGGGCAGAAGTGTATGGCATTTTTATGACTGGAATTCATGTCCCCTCTCTTCTGCTGTACTCCATTGGACAAAGTAATCAGGTTCAAGGAGAGGATACGCAGATCCGCCACTTGACGATGATAGTTAAAAAATTAAGGGTGTGAAGGATATGGATAGTGCTGTGGGCATCTTCAGGAAATAAAATCCGTCCCACTTTCTGTACGTTCCAATTGCAAAGAATTATTTGGAGAGGAGATTGAGAGTAGTTAGTGCCTTTTTAATCTTCTCTGAGTCAGCTTCAGCTTTAGAGCAATTGAATAGAAGTTTCAGTTAAAATGAAAACAGCATCACATTCCATAGCCATCAGTGTGTAGTTTTTGACCTACCTCCCAATAAATAGGAAGGTAGAGGTGAAGAACACAGTAATTCCACCTGGCATAGGTATATTCTTGGAGCTTATTAGAGTTCTTTTATATGTTATCTCATTTGAGTTTCCTCATATCTCAAGAGTGTTTTGGTTACATTTCTGTCATTGCTGAGACAAAATGCCTGATGCCCAGAATTAAGAAAGGTTTATT